GTCTAAAATAATATTTACAATCACTGTCGTACGTGTGTGTACCGCATTTTCTATACTTATTGGTAACATATCATGCATCAGAAAACCTATACCTTAGCGCCCTACCAATCCGCATTGGGCAATCTGAAACAACGAAGGTACTACAACACCCGGACCCGAGAAAATACATTTCTATATGTAGTTTACTCTCTATATTGACTCAACCTAGAATCGAACCCTCAAAAATGGCTAGACAGGCTTTGAAACTAGCGTGTGACCCACTCGGCCACGGATTTCGTCAAATAAAATTTTTAATTTTCTAATACGACGTGAATCCGCAAAAATGACACATTCATCATCTAAGACGCCTTAGCAGAGACTCCATGGCGGAGACTGATTAGACAGCGCGAGCTCGTTAACCACTTGATAAGGTTAACGAGCTCGCATTTTAAATCACAGAAAAAAAGACAAATGCATTAATAGAAAAATAAATTTAGCTTCCTTTAGATCACATACTTATATAAACTGTTCGGCTGATTATGCAAGTTAGCTGCGACATATACACTATGACTTACAGAAGTGGAACAGCAATGCAAAATGTTACAAAAACGGGAGAATGGTCTACTTTTTTAAAGCTTTCCTTTGCGTGCATCCGTCCATCTTATATCTTATTCAGAAAAAAACACATAAAGCTATGAAAATGGGAGTTGAAGTTCGTATAGGGCATTAAATCGTTACCATAGTAACTAATAGTAACCATTGTTTCAATTTAATTCTTCATTTTAATAATATTCCGTGTCATCCTTTTCCAAATCCATTATTAAATGACTTAAGTTATTTACGCAGAATTAAATAATGTTTTGAATAATTCAAATCGGTAGAATTGTTGTCGCTAATATCAAATGCATATTTAATGTTGGATAAGTACACGAAAATGTTACATTTAGTTGACGCTACTGATCACAACTGTACTTTAAAAACGAGATTTTTATTTTTGTTATGTTTGTAGTCTTTATTTTTCCGATTTTTATGAAACAATGTAGCTTTCGTTTCACATTTTTGTGGTTTTTCAATAACATAATTTAATGAGAAATACAAATTTCTTGTTCTCAATTGATTGTTGAATTGGCGAAAAATAAAATTAGCTGTTTTCGCTAGATGATGGAACTGTATTTTTTAAAACAGGGCTTTGTTTTTTTTTAACGTTTGTCTTTATTGTTCTTTGTTGTTTTCCCGATTTTTATGAAAAAAAGTCACTTTCATTTTCAATTTTGCGGTTCCGTAGTTAACAAGGAAATGTTATAGATTCATTATGTCCCTTTGTCTGTCCACAAATACGATTTTGTATTAGAAGGGTATTTAGTATGAGTATACACTTTAATTGCACTTTAATCTCGCCGACAAAATAGTAAAAGAAATTTTGAAAGATATTTTTTTCTTATCTTCTATAGCGTGGAGTTTCGTTGGATAGGTTTGTCAAAAATATTAGGTTGGGGAAAGTTTTTTCGCATATAGTATGCATAAACTTGTAATAATATCTTTCTGGATATACCATTTGAATCTGGCTGGTTTCGGTATCATCAAAAAGTTTAAATTTCAAAGACGATAACTCCGATTTTAAATTAGGAAAATGTCTGATTTTAATTTGTTTTTCTTACTGTCAAAATGAGTGAATATAATGAATAAATCCGATATATTTTAAAATTTTATTACAATAAAGTTATAAATACAATGAAAGCCACAAAAAATTTGTTACGTTTATGGACCTAGTGCGGTTTCTTTTAGTAAGCGTTTTCAGTCCGGAAATTTTGATGTCAAAGATGCACGTCGCTCTGATAGCCGTGTAAAGGATAAAATGGATGCCATTTTTGAAAAAGTGGAGCAAGATCGGCATATCTGAAGTTACGACGTAGGAGACTGTTTTTTAGGGGTTGACCACAGTTGGAGAAAGCTAGGTATACAAAAAAGTTGGATATTTGGGTTTCTCTCAAGCTCACTGAAACAAACCTAATGAACCGTGTACTCATTTGTGATTCTTAATTACGGCGTAATAAAACCGATCCATTTTTGTCTAACACTGGTGATGAAAAGTGGATAACATACGACAAGAACGTGCGGAAAAGGTCGTAGTCATTGGTCGACCAGGCTACACAGACTGTAGCGAAACCCGGGTTAACTCACAACGAGGTAATGCTGTGTCTATGGTGGGATTGGAAGGGCATTATTGATTATGAGCTGTTACCGCCAAGTAGGACTGTCGATACTGAAAACTACTGCGAACAACTGATGAGATTAAAGCAAGAGGTTGAGAAAACGGCCAGAATTAATTAAAAGAACGAGTGTAGATTATCCTGATAACCCTAGACCTCATCTTTTGCCACTCAACAAGAAATTAAGAGAGCTTGGCTGGAAGGTGTTAATGCATCCGCCGTATAGTACTGAGGGCATTAGAACGCTTTTAATTTAAACTAATTGTTGTGAAATATTACCGTCGTCTTACGTTTAGCCGCAACGGGTGACCGAACGAGAAAGCATATTTTGTAAATATTACCAAAATTAAATGTACTAAAATCACGTAATTTCTACGTGAATAGTACACTATGTAGGTCAAACCAGTCATAAGTCACAGAAATATGTGCCCACTTAGAGCAAATTCACGGCACTGTGTAACATTGTCGTTAAGAGAACTTCGAAAACCTGTCTTTAGGTAATAGAATCAGGCGTTATAACACTGTCAAAGGATTTCTATTGAAGCGAATTCCAGTTAATACACCATGTATGAGGGAGCATCCTCAGAAATTAAGAGACATTGCAGCGCCAACCTCAAAGACTAAGACAGCGGTTCCCAAAGGGCGGTCTGCGGAATCCAAGGGCTCCTTAGAAGAATCACCGAGGCTTCAATCTCATAACTACCTACTTGTAATTACAACTTAGTATGCTTACAACATTATTTCTCATTTAAACTTCGTTTCTTTCATGAAAAATATTCAAAGTAAGTACATTTAATTTCTTTAGCCATCAAAATCGGGCTTCGCCAAATAACACGTCGTCAATTAAGGTTCTGAGATCCAAAAAAGTAAGGTCTAACATCTTCTGAAAATGCTCTGTAGAAAAACATAACACGTGTTGATATTAAGTAGTTGTTATTGGTTACGAGGATACTTTCAGGTTATCCACGCCTAATTATTTGCGGATGAAGCATAGACGTTTCACAGGTATGTGGAAGCAAAAAAAAGTAATTAAGTAATTAGATTCTTTCAATATTAGAATCCAAGATGAGTAGTTACAGCCCCTGTTTTATGGAACTTATGACACAACGAAAGTACCGCAACACCGTTCGTGGTTCCTCTATTGGACAGTTTATTAATAAAACCTATGCCAACAGGCCCGGATCTAGGATTTTTTACAATCGAGGCAGAATAAAGTCAAAGTCCAGTCAAAATAATCTTTATTCAAATAGACTTCTTAATAGTACTTTTGAATCATCCAACATTTTTTTCCCTACCGCTCGTTCAGGACGCATAATGATATTGCGCCCTTCGTGTTCTTATTTTTAAAAACATGTCTGTGCCATGGTACCCTTTAATGTGTATGAATTTTTTTTTATTGTGAATATAATATGTTATTCTTTTTTACTATAGGTATTATAAGTAGCTCGGTGGCATAGTGGATAAGCGCAGCGGCTCGCGAAAGTTGTCTTAAGTAACTTTCGCAAGGATCGGTCACGGGATGTGTAACCCACACATTATTATCTCAGTTGTTAATACCCTACAATCCGGATTGGGTAAGCTTGGAGGATAATGGCCCATGCTCCTTAACCATCCATAAGAGAGCCCGAGACCTGACCCTGCAGTCGGAACGATAAATGATGACGACATTGATACTGGCGCCTAATGCCTCCACTTGCCCCCTAGATTCGGCCCTGTATGCCAGCGTCGTCGGCGTCGACGCGTCGTTTAGCTCAGGTAAGTGGCGCCACTCGCAAATCAATAAACATCCTCGGACGGAATTAGCATTATTTACTACCAACATAATTCTGGTTAAAGCAAACGTTTATTTCCGATATGATATTCTGCGACAAAGTTACGACTTATTAGTATTCATTAATTACTTTAAATGGTTAATGTAACTTCGTTATTATAATAGCTCTCAGAAGCAAGGTCTTAGGATAATATATAAGGTTCTATTAGAATCCTCTTTAAACAGAATTCGGCCTAGAACTCGATCATAAACTTACGTATATGTTATATAAATATTGAATATCAGTGATTGAATTTCCTTTACGGAAAAAATCTACCAAAAAAAACATCATAGCCAAACTGGAAATTATTAAATGATGCTTTTAGATATAAAATTAGAATTATATATTTCCCACGGAAATATCAGGTTTTTACAAAAGACCTTAACATTCCGGATTAATTCCGGATTCAAGACCCTTTTTTGTTTCTTATTTCCTTAAAAAAATCTTATACCAACATTTACGAATATTAAGAAAAAAAATACTCTCAGCTATTAGCGAAGTGACGTCATTTAATTACTTAATACTTCTATGACCATTACCATGGACCGAATATAAACCAGATACACAAACTGAGTTTAATTAACTTTAATTATAAGATCTAAGTTCTCAATTTGAAAATTCATATCGGTAATGTCGCTTTAAACTAATGACAATTTTAATGGGCGTTTGTCGAATTTTTTTAGATAAACGTAAGTTAGATACATGTAAAATCGGGGTAGAGCATCATATCGCCGCTGGAAAGCAAACAGGTAGTAACTTGCAAAACCAAAATGGATATTATATAGAAAGAATGGAAAATCTTTATATTTTTCCAAGAAAAAAACATGTTCTTTCCGTATAAATTGACTAAGGAACACCTTATTTGTTACCATGGACGTCTATAAAAAATATTTATCGAAAAAAAATAAAGTTTTTCTGCTCTAAAGAACAATTTTGGTTTTTCGGGTTACTACGTGTTTGCTTCCCAGCGTCGATATTTATAAATGAAACATATTTCTCAAAAAAATAAATTATGTATATTTCACTTATGCCTAATTACAATGTTAAAGCTCCGTATACTGGAAAAGCGTCGTTATATCTCTTGTGTCTGTACCTAAATCTGTTCAGTAAACCACTGGCCGCTACCACTGTACTCGGACGAGTACACACGAAACTTGTTTGAGTCCTATCGAACACTGAATGTACCCGCTTGGGTACATCTATTGATCTACAGTTTTTAATTTTGATTCTAATACACTTATTAATGTTTAATCTTGTCGATTCAAAGACGCACTCGCGATGTAAACTGTTCCTGATTGGTGGGTTGGTGTGAACTATGCGGATTTTAGAACGCCGCGTCACCGGCCTCATTAATGTATAAGATTCTTCTTCGGATATTTTTTCGGTGTTTGCGTCATTATTTGTGATGGGTTCTGGAAAGATTTTTTTTTTTTTTTAATATATTTATAATCAACTGCGTATCGGATTTCCACATTATGTACTTGGAAGCATGGTTAAATTTCTCTAATCGGATTTAAACCGTAAGCTGTTAACGATAACGTTAAAAATTCTTTGCCTAAATTTGGCCTTTTGTATACTACAAAAGGCCAAATTTAGGCAAAGAATTTTTGTATTTATCTTTATATGTACATTGTATTTTCTTACATAAAATTGTCTAGACACTAACTTTTAACCAGTTCCTTAAAAGTCGTGCGTATCAACATGACCTGGCTAGAAATAGGGTTGTGCAAAGTAAGGTGCGCAAAAAAGTTATAATTTTCTTTAAAAACAATATCTTTAATAAAAATTCAATTATTACCAACAGACAGAAATCGGATGACAATAACGCCAAGAAAATAACTCAAAAATCGCAAAGCGCAAAGATACGTGTTAGTTATGCTATCCTTACTGAGCTCGCATAGAGACGCAGAGGCGTGATGAGGGCAACGCAGAGAGTATAAAATTTCATGCCAAGTATCATATTAATTCGTCCAACTTATACTGTTCAATTGCCTCCAAAGGACACGGAAGGTTTTTATTATAAATAAACTCTTAATTTGTGTATTAACGTCATTGTCATCGGCTGCAGTAGTACAAACTTTTCCAATGAATGCAATCAAATGAAAAATAAACGCGAGCCCAGTGCGGGTTTTTGTATTCTAACGACTATGCAACGTGTCTTCCGAAGAACAGAGGAGCTATAGATACACTTTTGGCCACCCATCCTGTGACCAGCTCAAGTTGCTGACGTGCTAACCCATGCGCCATAAGTAACATAAAATGACATATATATTTACTTGTAAAAGGGAATAAAATCCGTCGAGGCATTATCGAATCTCCGAGCATTTCATACAGAGTGTAATCTGCAGTCACGTAGTCCTCTAAATATGTAGTAGGTTCAGATCTGAGTAGGCAACTTGATGCGTCCTGAAATGTAATAAGTATGTTATATCATGATATGCAACTGTAATACGCGACAATGTTGATAAAAATAAAACCTATCTTAAGATATGGATATAAAACACATTATTATTATTATTTATTGTTGTAAGAGGCTATGCAGTTCCCTGAGGAACTGTAGTCGCCGCTAGAGCAATAGTCACTCCTTTAGCCCGATAAACTTCAAAAAGTCTATAATATTCCTGGCTTTTAGAGATTTTATATCTTCTGAGTTGATTATATGTCGTCTCAGATGTATGCTTGTTTTGCTGTTTCACGTTCCTGTTTGCAATATCTGCAAATGTCAGTGTCACTTAGTTTCATGTTAAATAGGTGTCTGTTTAATTTGCAGTGTCCAGATAAGGATCGTAAAATTGTACTTATATTTGCACTGATCAGCTCAAAGAGCTCTTCAGCTAGTTTTTATGAATTACCTTCAGTTAGGGATTTAACGCGATTTAATCCCGGCTGTTTTTGCCGGTATTTTTTTGAATCCCTTTGCAGGTCAATAGACACATGTTTTATTTATATTTTTTGTGTAATCAATAAATTACAATATTACGTATAATTATAATTACGTCACTCTTCAGTACATCTTCTACAAAGCGGTGACTAATCCCCCGCTCCTCAACTTTAATGCCTATTATCTAAGCCATTTCTTGTCAAATTGAAGTAAAAAGAAATACGTATCTATTATTTTTCTATTATCAAACTGACGGACTAAACAGAATTTCCTTTTTTTACCCAATCTCCATCCCCAATCGCATCTCGATAGAATCTCCACTTGCATTTTGCATTTTGTCATTATACTGTAAATGAAAGACTGAGATCCGGCCATAATGATCTTTATTATGCGTCCTTCTTACTCCTAGGTACATATTTTTACGTCTCGCTCTCACACAACCAATCATTCTGCTATAATCTTTTTACTCTTTTTCTCTTACGCACTTAACATTCATCATCTTTTTCATACAAACTTACGTTCAGAATTACATAAATTAGATTTTAACCTTACATTCCCTTTGAAATTAATATTTTTTTTTTATCTAAATAAACAAATTTTGATTTCACACTCATTCCATAACCTTACAATACTATCTACTGGAAGTCAAATTTTTTTTTTTTTTTTATTTATTTACAGTTCGAGAAAAATTATTTAACATGGTAATTAAACTAAGCCATGAAGAGAAACCAAGAAGGTTTGTACACATGTGCTAGGAATAAAATTATATAAAACATGCATTCAAAACATATCGGCAACAACTTCATTAACATATTATTAAAAACAGCAATTTAAACATTTAAGTAATAACACGCACTTGGCACAGTATTTAGTCACCAAGCACATCTAAGTAATAAACTTTTATTAATTTCTTTAAGTTGTTAGGATGTATAAGCTGTATTAAATCCGGGGGTAGTTCGTTAATTATTCGTGGTACAATGTAACTGGCCGTCCGCTCGCCATATATGTTGTTAGCCCGTTCGATCATAAATCTGTTGTTTGCAATGGCGCGCGTGTACACAGAGTGCTTCTTTTTTTTCAAAAGTTCCTCTCTAAAAAAGTATTCCTTGTGAAGAGCGTACTTTATCTGAGAAAAAATTGGCAAAACTCCACAGTATTTAAAAAGGCCATTATCATTACAATCATATTTTGCGTTGATTTTCGGTAAAACTATCGTTTTTAAAATTCTCAATTGCAATTTGTATATTTTATTAAGATAAGTTTTGTATGTACGTCCATAACTACTCAGTCCATACTGGATGTAGGATTCCGCCAATGAATTGTATAGCATTAGTTTAACCTTGAAGGGAATGCGTTTATTCAATATTGTGATATTAGCCAAAAAAGCCGTAATTTAGTACAAACAGATTCGATATGTTGGCTCCAATGAAATTTGCTGTCAATCGTAAGACCTAGGTATACATGCGACTCAACTTCTTTTATTAACGGACAGACACAAGAACACAAAATATTATTACATATCTGTTACCATTGATATGCGAGGAGGATAGGTAGAGTACAATGGCAAAATGCAAGTAGTTTAGATTCCCTGCTGGCGGGGTCCCCTGATAGATGGATTAGGACGGGAGATTCTACAATAAAGCATCTCCTGTCTATATCAGGGATCAGCCTTATAGACCAGCACGCTTAACGGGCATTACACGTCCCTTGTTCTGTCTGGAGGTAGGGCTCAAGCGTCTCTGACATCTTGCAGTCTTACTTCCCCTTCCCCTACCCGCAAAGGAGGACCCTAAAAACAAGGGGTTGGCAGAAATGGTGGCGGCTTTTACCGTTCATTGCCCGCGTCATTCAAGAACATCGGTGGGTTTTAGTGGGTGTGTTTCTGCACACTAGCCCCCTTTTAGGGGTGGGTCCACAGGAGCATAGGAATCGAGGTGACACATTTCCCATTTAAAAAAAAAGGGTCACGAAAAAACTACCAAACATCGCAAGAGGAAGAGGCAAAGCTTTTTCCCAGAGCGGGTACCTAAATCGAGTACCCGCTCTAGGCAAAAATAATATTCACCACCCTTACACCAGAGGTGGCTAACCAGTCGATCGCGGTAGGTAATGCTTAAATATTCATGTTCAGGTTCTTGGACTCCTTGAGATTGGCTATTTCAATCTCCTATTTTAAACTAGCGAAATGTGTGTGTCTCTGTTGTAGCGAAAAAGGTTATTTTTAAAGATTTTTATACCTAATATTAAAAAGAGGCACGGCAACGTCGCACTCTATTTTAACAATAACCTTACCATTTAATTTTATTAGAAAAAAAAACAAGTGGTACTTTTTTCCTATACAAATACATTAATATGAAAATAAGTTTTTTTTGCACTTGAATCTATTAATTAATTAAGGTATGATATACTTAATATAAACACTTTATGCACACTTAAAAATTAACAGTTTATAGAGCATTTTTTTGTTAAAGTGGACAAAAGTGACTTATCGCTAACAGCCATCTCACGTCAATCATAGGAACTTACAACTAGAGTTATTTGACGTGCCAAGGTTTCTGTGGACCCCGATACATAAATCTCACGGACCCCCAGGGACAGGGACAGGACCATAGATGACCATAGGTTGCAAAACTATACTATAAATAAAGCAATTTCAACAGATAATACTTTTTTTATAATATCTATTACTAGTTGTTCTAAATCTAATTTTTACTCACCAAAAGCGTCTCCCTTAAATCTGGTTGTAGATGATTCCTTCTAGATGCCTGTATACATTCATCTAAATGTTCCAAGTGGTCATCTAAACACTCAATAAGCGCCCTTCTTCCTAAAGCCATAACGCACTTTATCATTGGAGCTGTTAATCTTTCTTTCGTCCCCTGAGCGAGGTAATCGAAAAGTATACTCTTACCTGAAACATGACATATACTATAGTTTATTTAGTACTTACACTGGGGAAAAAATATGTACTTTAAAGATAAAGCAATTGTAACTATCAATGACAACCGGAAGCCAAGTAGAGTCAGAAAAAAAAGAGGACGGACGACCAACGAAAATAAGGATTATTAAACAATATCACAAACATAACTCAAATTTCAAGATGAGTAGCTAAAATCTCGTTCAATGTAGTATCTAAGAAGGTACCATATCGCTCAGACCGGGGACAATATAGAAAAGCTCATTTTGAAACCGGCGTGCGAATCACTTCACTACGAGTCTTCATAAATTCTTTTTATGAAACTCATTGTCAATATGAGTAATTTTACAATTGAGAATATGCCCATTATATGGCTATGCTTAAGATACTGGGCATAATAATTGACTAAAGCAATTCCCAAAATTTTCTTTGCATCTTAAACATGCTCTGTACCTGTAAACTAATACACTGTACATTTGTTAGAGTTCTTTAAGAATAATAAAACCTTAAGTCCCTGACTTATCCTCATTAACATATATATTTAAAATCATATATTTATATTTTTATTGAAAAATGCTTAAAAAATCGACCTAGGTATTCTGAGATAGGGTACGAACTCACGACCTTTCGCAATCCGGGCGACTGCTCTAACCACTGAGCTGCCCAGGACCTAACAGGACAAACGAATTTTTCCAGCACTTTTAGCTTTTTCGTTACCACAGAGCGTATTTTCGTCTAAGTTCAGGCAATCCACCCAAACAGCAGAAATGAGTATTTCTACAAATATTCCAAGCTATCAATTAAGATCAAAATTTGTTCTGTTAGGTCCTGAGCTCAGTGGCTAGAGTACTCACAAAGATTGCGAAAGATCGTGGTTTCGAGTCCCATCTCAGATCTGGGGCAGGTGTATTTTTAAGCATTTTTCAATATGAATCATCAATTTACTTAAACTCCTAACCAGGTACTAGTTGATATTAAAAGTATCATTTGGAGTTAAATAAAGAGCTTGTATCTCACCTATCGCTATAAAAGAAGGCCAGGTACGTGTAATTTTAGTGAGTATTGCAACCATCTTCTCGGCCAATGAGCCGTTACCTAAAATATTTGAGACCATCACTGGAAATAATCGCTGGAACTGTAAAACAAAATTACACTAATTAATTACACCCTAACTAATACACTAACAAATTAAATTACACAATAACAAACAATAACTTTGTGTTTTCAAATATTGTTGAAAAATTTTGATTCTCATTACTAAACTTATAAATTAGATTTTCGCCTCAGTCATACGCTGTCTGTTAGCCTTAATTTCTCTTAAACGCAAATTATATCTAGCGGGTTTCACTTGATAATGAATTCTTAGTGAGGGAAACGAATATTATAAAAAGATACAAGTTTCTATCTTTGTTTGTTTTTATGGAATAATCTTTGGAAATTCTGATCCTATCATGAATATTCTTTCACTTACAGGTTATAATTTCGCGGGAAAAATGGCAGGGCAGCTAGAATATAATAAAACAAAGGCTCCGCCGCAACTGTGTAATACACATAAGCTGTAAAGTGTTTTTTCATATGGTTTGGATTTTTTTTTCTCGTAAATCACTTACTTTTCAATTATGTCCTAGGTTTAAGTTTGATTGCAATGCTAATACAACATAATGAATAATACCTGTTGCTGGATATTGGTGTCCAAACTGCAAGGATTCGAACATAGTGCATCAACCATATCTAATACATTGGACTGCAACGGTTTCTTTGCAGGCACATTAAGAGCATTCAGGTTGTCATCATTCAGAACCAGTACAGCTAAGTTGAAAAGATTAGGGAAAATTGGACCGATTCTGGTATTTGTTGTTAGGTCTTCTACTGCAATTTCTTTGGGTTTCCTTCTAAGGTTTAGTATTGCTATAAAAAAATACACACCTTTTTAATAAGTTTACACAAGCACATAAAAAATATTTTCAGTTACACTGACTGAAAGAGGCGGAAGGGGGAAACGAATTTTCACACCAACAAACCTTGAAAACTAATGATTACAACTAGATATGTGTAATGTTCATAATATGTTTGTAATATGTTACAGTTGAATCCAGTTTTTAGATAGAACGCGTTTTCCCCAGTTAGAACTAGTTTTAGACAAGACGCGTTTTTAAGAAGCGAATCAGTGAAAACTGTTTTATAAAAATCGATTAGAACAATATCACAGTTTTGTATAAACTAAAGTATTTGCGCTATATAGAATTTGATCAATTCAAAACTTATATGTTGTTAGTCGGCCGCTGCTGCGGTGCGCAAAACTACGGCGGGAGACCTTGTACTAAGAACCGGCAAGAAACGACAATTTAGAAAAACTTTTTTTAGTACCTCACAGCATACGTCAGGCGGTGACTTGCACTTCCGCGCACACTATAACAAAGAAGTGACTTCCATCCAAATATGACTTCAATAAGAGAAAATAGTTTATAGGCAGCATCTCCCTTATCATGAAAAGGAGGCTGTCATACACCCGATCAAATGCCTGTGATATGTACTAGAATGCTGCAGAACAATATTCCATTTTTTCAAACAATCGCGTATATTGCTATCAAGCCTGTGGATTTGTTTAATTGTACTGTATCTGTAGTCGAACTGGTGGTTTGGTATCTACCTTCCTTATGATTGGGTGTAATCTGCCCAAGAAACTGTTTTGATGCATTTAGCAGAAGGCTTATGGTGCGATAAGATTTTAGGTCTTCAGCACTTTTCTCTGGCTTTAGAATCTAGTCATAACTATGAAGAACGCGTTCTATCTAAAAACTGGTTTTAGCTGTAACATATACAATGAATTCAAAAAATTTTTCCTTCACTTTATAGATTGATCCAAAATGGTTACGATAAACACTTCACAGTTTATTATTTGTAGAATACAAAAATATGCAATTGCAAAATTTCTTTATACTTTAGCACAGTTACTTTTTACCTCAGTCAATAAATTAATATAGTTTTAAGTAGTTTGTTTCAATTCAGAAAGAAACTCACCTCTGGCGACTTTTGTGTAATAATTCTGTAAGCTTACACTTATATTATTACTGTTATTTAGACTTTTCTCATCAGTGATCCATTCTACAGAAACGGTGGGCAGGGTTGAGTATATATAGCTCTGGGGTGTTAGAGCACATTCAGTCACATTAATTAAAGTTTCCTGTGAAAAATATATCAATTGTCCATTTTAAAGTCTCTTATAACTCTTTCACAGATAATAAACAGAATTTTTAGGTTTATAAATTATGATAGAGATTAATTTAAATTATACAATACAGGCGATATAGGTTAATTTTGGAATAATTATTAATTTTGATTTCCGAGTTGTTAAGATTTAGTTTAAATATTTTCATCCAAGGTCTATTATACTTAAAATATGACTTAATTATCAAATCTTCTCTAAATCATCTTTTCATACTTTGCTTCAGTCTTGAGATAATAAATTGTGTTAGGATCTTATAAAAATGAAATATACTAATGAGATAAGACCATGATCATTATATTAAGTTTACTTACAACTTGACAGCATATTTTTTCATCTCCAACAGGAGTATACTGTGAGGGACATGTGCCAACAATGGGACTTGTATCGGAGAGCATCAATACAGAATTAACATCCCAGCAGTCAACACGAGATTTCTTCATCATTTCACTATGTAAAGCAATTGTCTGAAAAAGATTAATAAATTATTAGAACATTGAAATAACCTACTTGTTTCTTAAATATCAAAATACTTTATAAAAAAGAAATGGTTTAATGAATAGGGAATATATGTTTGATTCAAAAAAGGCTTAAATATATTAATTACGATCATTATACCTTTAGAATAAAGTCTATGTTGATATTTTTTAACATTAGTTTGTTTTCGTCTTGAAAATAATTATGAATATGTGCAAAAAATGTGATAACTTCAAAATATTTAAATGCCATGCTACTTGTCAGAGCAGATGTGACGAAAATGTACATGTATAGGGATGTTGTTACAATAAGTTAACATCAAAATATTAAGTCGCAAAATAAACAACAGATTTCAATTTAAATGATGTTTTAGGCTTTTATTTATATTTCACTAACTTGGTAAACTGTACGAGTTATCAAAAAAGTCTATTACTCTTTAAAAATCGATTAGTTGCTAATCGACTTAGATTTTTGAATAATAATCAATATTGATTTACAATGTCATATCTCTAGTAGTGTACTTTGACGTCACAACAAGCGCTTGTAACTATTTCTTATTTTCATCAATTATTAATGTTACAAAATGTTAGTTTTTCGGTGCTGGGTATTTTTACAGTTGTATATAGAAGTAAATTATCAATTAAAAATATTTTTCAAAAATGTGCATATTCCCTATTGTGACCCCAGATACTGCAAAACTTTGAAACATCTAAAATCATGGTTTAAAAAATATGATAACTGTTTTAAATTTATAAATCGCCAATAATATTCCCACAACTAATAAATATTTAATTCAGATCAGAGTAGATAGACTACAATAGAATCGCTGATGCAGGATTCAATAATATTACTATTATACATAATATTGAGTTTTAAACATTGTGTAGACTTGGGCTAACATATATCCACTTACACTAATGGTCTGTCGTAATTTATAGCTAACATCTTCAGCAAGATTGGTGGCTGCTTCTGCATTAACTTCTGCAGCCACCTGATCAGCCATACAGAGTATGGAATCTGCACCAATTCCAGCATAACGGCCTTGCGATGTTCCAGCATCCTGAAGAAAATTAAAATGAAACATTTGAAATACGTATAAAAATTCATCAGTAACATTTTCAATATATAGATCATAATATAATTCCACATCTATGGAAGTTTTAACTTATAGAACTAGAATACGAATTTTTGATTTTCTTACTTTTTCATTGAGAGGAGGCGTATCACACTGACTGGAGCCTCCAGATTCAGAGGCTACTGACTTGTTTCTATCACGGTCACGGCTACTGTTAGATTTCTTATTATGGTTTTTGCTCGTCGAAGAATTAGACATGGCGTAAACTAATAAATTTAAGATCTCATGGCAAAGTAAAACTTATTTATGTGTTGAACAATAATACTATTGGAAGGTGATTTTATTTTTATTTCCAAAACATTACAAAATATCGCAACCTACTGTTTTCGCATTTCCTTGTGACAGTTGTTGTTCTTGTTTATGATTTTTATAATAAGGCAAAGGGATTATACAAAACATTCATTATAATTTATTTTATTAACGAGTAAAGTGTAAAATCAACATTATATTATTGTAGAAAGTATATGAGAAACAACGGCTATACTTAATTTAATTAATGAATTCTAGTATCGATTATTCGGTTCAAAGATAGAATATTCACTAGTCCATACCGTCTGTGTCATGGTGGCTCCACACAGCGTGTAAGACCAGCCATCCACTTTGTGCCCCAAAAAATTACGTAGGCGTAGCGTAGAATCATAGATTGCATAGAATCGTAGAATGTTAGAACCGCGCTCAAACGTGTCTTTGCTTTCAGGTCAAGATGCTTGTATACACGGACTAGGAAGAAGATACTACGTATCTTGTATCCCAACAGTTTGAGTCGCCAGCGATGCCGCCGGCAAAGAGTAGTATAATGGCCGCCGGTCTGTGTATTAATCATATTTCTAGACAGGACAACATCATCTGGACAGACCTCCATGGCAGAGAGGCTCGCTCACCAGTTTCAAGGTGTCGTCCTCACTAAGGACCTGGGTTCGATTCCCGCTAGGATCAATGTATAATGAACTTTTCTATATTGTCTCGGGTCTGTCTATCCGTTGTGGTAACTTCGTTGTTTCAGATATCCATAACGTATAATTTTATCAGACTTATTTATATACCGCGAAAAAAGTGTTCTAAACTAAAATCATGATGTGAGATTTCAAAATGTTAAAATTTCGCAGATATAGCGCGGCGCTGCCAGGCTTATGTCAGCCCAGCAGCACCACATTATTTCTGAGTTATCTCCGAGACTAATAAATACGGGATTAAAAGATGACCAGGAAAGTTTTCTTTGAAATTCATTTTAGTCAACCCAGCAGCGCCACACTCGTTCATCTCCAAAACTACTTACCTAGGCTATTTCTCCATATTACTGATTTCAAAAGGTTATTATTACTTTGAGAAATTATTAAGCTACGCACGCGCTGGTGGTTTTTTGTCATCATTGACTTAAGTTTCTGTGACAATGCTCCCGTCATTTGTATGGATGTCACCTGATTGTAATGTATTCAAATGTAAATGCTGCCGTAAGGATTTACAGGCACGGTACACAAAATTTGCAACGACAGAAAGTCATCAGTGCACACGTAGCCTTACTGGAATATAGGTAATGTAAAAATAAAACAACTTGTAATCTTACAATATAAACTTATTAAAATTTTTATTTCATAACTAATCATTAAATAAATATGATTGTCATAAAAATATCAAACAAACATTACACTCTTAACTAGACGTATCTATGTATTAAGATATTGGCATAACAAAAAATAACTCTGCTCGATTGAGGCACATTATTATTATTGGTATTACGTTAATAAAGATGATTTGTTTTACCTATAATTTTAAAGTCAAATGGATCACTAATAGAAAAAAAGAGTACATTATTTTATATCGATATCAATAAAAAAAAAAAAAATCTTTCCTGTAATTTTTTTTTTTAAATTTGCAGTCTTTTTAATAGAATTACTCTTATTGTTCCGATATGATAGTTTTATGCTCTTTTCATCATTAGTAATTCATAGCTCTATATATAAAAATTTCATTCGGGTATGGTTACAACTTTGCCTCACCATACTTTACAGAAGTGCAGTACATTATTGTACTTGACATAATTATTATAAGGTATATTTCTGAGTGTACTTTTTATCATAAGAATATACTATCATAGAATAGTAACATTTGCTCTCTGCAAATAAAAAAAACATACTTCTCTTTCTGATAGGAAGATAGAGAAAGATACATAATAAATATTAGTACTGTTATTTCCATAGAAAAAAAAAGAAAAGAAAAATTATTTTAACATATTGTAAACATTGAAAAATTTTCACGCGATAATCAAAGACTTTCCGTAACTAGTGGCAAATTCTGATTCTTACTAATTTAAAATGGAAATTGACGATCCTGTAATGATAATTAAAAAAAGTCGGCGGCGGCGTTTATTTATTAACAAGATAAATAAGGCATTTGAAACATGAAGTATGTATAACATTTGGTCCACACACTCGAAGTTTTGTCCTAATGTAGAAGCAGAGGTAATTAGTACTGAGTTGTCTCTGGTTAGGCATTTAATGCGCGTTTATAAACAAGTTTTTTTTCCAAAAACACTTTATTCTTCTCTAGCGCATCGATTGAAAAACACTAAAAAAATCGTTGGACCATAAACTATCGAAGGAGATTACGTCTCTAAACGGTAGCAAAGCAATAGAGGATCACCTCTACCGGGTTAGTCGTAAATCGGTTTGTTTTATGACAGTGAAACTGTCTTATAGTCTTTGAACATAAAAAAAAAATTATTATTACATAAAAGCTAAATATCTCGTTCTGTCAAAAATAACTTATCGGGTTTCAACTGAACTTCAGATCCGTCCGAAAATGGGACGATATCGAATTTTACCTTTACAAAATATTGTCAAAGACCAATAGATAAGGCTTATTCATATGTTGATATCTTTTACAAAGCTATGTTTGATATAAAAAAAGTTTCAAAGTTATAAAATAGGTCCTTTTATAAAGCTTATTAAGCAGTAAATTCATCATACTGTTTCCTCTGTTAGTTAGTACTTTGAGAAAGAAATAAACAAAAAAATAATAATAAAGAATATAACTTCACACAAGTGATGAACTCGATTAATTAATTTTAATCACTGAATATAAGTGTTGATGAACATTTATTTATCAGAATAGAAAACAATGAAAACTAAGTCTTACTTAAAATAGCTTAATTTATTTTCGAACAATCATAATGTAGCCATGTAGCAAGTAATTTTGACTTAATTGAATTTTGCCTAGCTGAAAATAATTGAGCAATAAAATTAAAAAGTTAATTGTCAAACTTAACATTATTTACAAATACCCCCCAAAACCAGATGTTTACTTAAAACAAACAAATCTCATTTTTTTTGTCACAAGTGAGTTCCATCTCCATTCGTGTCCAGCACTAATGATGAGGAACGTTAGGGCAAAATCAGATATGAAATTTCATAACGCACACAGAGAACACTTATCACCGTAATGTTACAAAATTCCATAGACAAAATTCTATAAATATAAACAAAACAGAAATTAGATTTTAAGAAAAATCAGATCTTTAGCCACATAGCTTGATTCATAGTTAAACTTTTTATAAAGAATAAAAATCAACATATGGTGCTTTTATTATACAAATATTAGGTTAGAAAACAAATTAAACATATAGAAAATAAACTTTACTTATAGTTCGAAGTGCAGGAAAAGAATAATATACCATGTCCAGTACTAAGTCCCAAGTTTTCTTAGAAGAATAATGGAAACCTCAATAAACATCTGCGTATCCGATAACATGTCACAGACTAAAAGTTTCAGATAATACACCGTATCTAATTGTCACAAACTAACAGTATGAGACAGTAGACTATGTCAACTAATCACATACTAAAAGTACAAGACAATGCACCATGACTACTTGTCACAAACTGAAAGTATGAGACAGTAGACTTTGTCAACTGGTCACAGACTAAAACCATGAGACAGTAGACTAGTGCTAACCTGTCACAACGTTCTGATTGAATAGTGACGCCTAGAAACAAATATACCCAACCCGAATAAAGTAATAAGTTTAACGTGAGGTCAGTCCGAGTCGCTCCCGGATTCGGAGAGGCAGAGATCATCGTTGAGCACATCGCTGGGCAAGGCCGGATTGGCTGCAGCGCCTGTCACAAAAATAAAAATACTTTAAATAAATGCAGATGAGATTTATAAACTGCTAACAGTAGCTGAATTTTTAAGAAATTAACTTATAATTACAATGAAAATGTTACAACAATCAAACGAGTAAAATTCGTCGGGTATGACAATACATGTGTATGCGGCCCGCGATCGTTATCGTTAAGCAACTTTCGCAAGGGTCGGTCACGGGATGGGTGACCAAAAAATTAATATATCGAGCTACTCCGTGCTTCGGAAGGCACGTTAAGCCGTTGGTCCCGGCTACATTTGCAGTCGTTAATACCCTCCAATCCGCATTGGGCCAGCGTGGAGGGTCATGGCCCATCCTCTTTAACCACCCATAAGGAAGGCCTGAGACCTGCAGTGGGGACGTAAAAATGGCTGATGATGATGAATCTCTTTATCTATATTAATATTATAAAGAGTCAAATCTGGAGTATGTATTAATGTGAATTATATGAATAGAGATATTAAGTTTATGATAGAGTGATTTGTGAGTATGATTAATATAAAAAGGCGGAGTTAACTCTATGGACAAAGCCATAAAAAGGCGGAGTTAACTCTATGGACAAAGCCATCTGTGAGTATGACTAATATGAATAGTATTTTTTATTATAAAAATAGAACTCCATAGCAAATATAAGGAATAATATGCGCTTAATTAATTATTAGTAATATAAAAACGCTTTTCAAATCGAATAGGGGAAATTAAGTCTATTGGTTTCTGAATTGAGAATTTAAAATTAAGCACCTCTTAAACTTCTTAAATTTCACTTAAACACGTTTTCATTTCTGATTTTATTTTTTTAATGATTTTTGCTTGTGAAACATAAAAGACAAGTTATTAAGAATAAACAGTTGAGATTGTTTACTTTTTCAATTGAGTGATGTGGGTATGAAATCTGTGATATTAATAGGCGATTGAGTTAAAATGACGCATGACGTCCCGCTTTTTTACATTTTCTACAAAACTGTGACGAAGCGATCCCCCACTCCTCAATTTTAATGATTATTAGCCTATTTCTCTATAATCTTACTGACGGACAATCTCCCGCGAAAACGCCGACTTCTGTCATGGCGTCGCTATGACGTCATACCCCACTAAAACTTATATCGCTTTATGTATGCATAACGTTAATTAAATATGGATATGAGTAATAGGGGCGTGAATTATTGCGAGAGGTTGTGGGTTCGAGGCCCATCCCAGAGGTCCAGGGGACGAAGTGGATTTTTAAGCATTTTTCAGTATAGATCATTGATAGCATTGTGTATTGAAAATTTATCAAATATAAATAAATATTTAACAACATCACATAGATTGCTCAGATTCCAAGATGAGTAGCTAAAGCCCCCGTATTATGGAGTATCTGAGACAACGAAGGTACCACAACACCCAGACCCGAGTCAACATAAAAAAGTTCATTTTCTACATTGACCCGACCGGGAATCGAACCCGGGACCTCAGAGATGGCGACACCTTGAAACCGGCGTGCGAACCATTCGGCTACGGAGGTCGTCCTCCTATAATAATGATGTGTATTTATTTTCGTTTACGGTGTACACTAGTATTTGTGAGTTTAATCGATACGAAATTAACTGACCGTTAACAGGGATTCTAGTGTTGGGGGTGTCGTCGTCGCTGTCGCTGCCGCTATCGGAGCCGCTGTCGCTATCGCTGGATGAACTGGACGAGCTGTCCTCTTGTTTCACGGCCTTTTGTGTCGCAAACGAAGGCTCCTGCTGTTCAATCATATATCACATCAACATTTGTATGACAGACCCGTTTTAAAAATCAGCCGTTCAATTGACCGGCTAGTTTTTTAGTGAAAATATTTTGACATTTGGACTAATTAATGAATCGCCGAAATGGTAATTTGGTTTTGTTACCTGTTAAAAAAATTGAAAATCCTGTATTGGACCTTACGGATAATTGAACCCCCAATCACGAATAAGCAGTTTTATATTATTTTTTTTTGGTGTGTCCTATAGTTTTTATTTCAAATCACCCACTACATTATCTATTTTATTTTACTTCTAATCCTACCAATAAATTTCGGTATACCCGATGAATTTGCAGTTGGTTAGGGATGACCTTTGCTCAGTCGTATTGTAGAATGTTGCGTTCAAATACACGGCGGAACGAAGGTCAGCCCGATCCTTGTATGACAATGAGGAAGTATTTAAAAAAAACATTAGTTCCCGAAATCAAACTAGATGTCGCTACGGTACTTTCTTGATTCTCCATGACAACCCTTCCGGTATTCTTTCATGTATAAAAGTAAATTAATTTTTAAAACTCAATAAACAACTCATATTCTATTTGTACTATTTCGTATTTGTATTGATATCTAAGTTTCGAACATTGCAAATTTCAGTTTTTTAATATGTCAGTTAAAAGGAACGTAAATGGCTATCTTTGGTCCATTCGTTTCCTGCAAAAAAAAAACAACTTTTTCTAGAGTCGCCATCTAGTGAGATACTTTTTAGTGCTTTCTTATTTTTTTTAATACTTCCTCATTGGACGGCTGATAAAACCACTTACTTGGCTGCGACTTATTTATTTATTTCAAGAAAAAAATCCACAGCAAGTTTTTATCTAAATAATAATAATAATAATTATATATATATAATTTACATAATAAAAATACATATAACTAATGAATACTGTAAACAGAACTTACTATTTGCGGGGGAGGCACATGGGTGTTTATCTGCGGACGCTCAGTATACTGTCTGTCTGGACGGTCGCTCCGCTCGTTCCGCTCGAGGCGCTCGTTTCGCTCGTGCCGCTCGCGAGCGTAGCCGTTGTGGAGGGGGGCGGGGGCGGGGGCAGGGGGAGCGGGAGCGGGCGCGGGTGCGGGCGACGGTTCGTCTAATCCTATCATCGGCAGCGAAGCGAGCGTACTGTTCCCGCCACCGGACCAACTAAGACAATAACGAGAATCATTAATATCACAGCCATCGAGGTGAATATACGGATGACGACTAGGTAAGGCCCACACTCCACCAAAGCGGAGACGAGACGAATGCAGAGATGTTTTTTAAACAACCAATAGAATTTCGCTATTCATACATCTCGTCTCCGCTAAGCTCCAATGGAGATCGCTAAGCGGAGATGTTTTATATTTGTATGGTGCGATGGAAGCGGAGATGAGAGCTGTGCCTTGACGAGACGCAGCGGAGACGAGAAGATGTGAGCGTACGTTTTTGTAAAAGCGACATAACGTCTACCTTTCGTGTCAGAACGCATACTGAGCATTCAATGCCTTGCAAACTCTCAACGCTATCTAACGCACATCTCCGCGACACTACGCATCTCCGCACAGCTTCGGTGGATTCACCCGAACCCGAATAACATCTCTTCTCGTCTCCACATTGGACATCTCCGCTTTGGTGGAGTGTGGGCCTAAAAGGTATCTATTTAGTTCGTCAGTCAGACAACAGAAAATATTATAAGTTCTTATAGAAAATATTGAGTGCGTGTTAACCATAATACTATTGTTATTTAGCCACCTCCAGATAACAACGCCTATAAAATAAATGTTTTGCCGGTTCGCATTAATCAACGAATAAATATCAAGAAAAGCGTTTTATTCTATCATAATTGAAATTAATTAATCTTTTTCCATCTCTAACAAGTTAAGCTAAAACCAATTATTTACTTTTATGTTTGTTTTTATCTGTAGTGTAATAGTGTAAATAGTGAGTAGATTACTCGTAGGAGTCGATAATAAGAGAATGTTTAAAAATACTCACGGTGCAGCCTGTGGAGGAGATGTTTTCACCCTCGGTGGAGATCTCACCATATTGGGTGAAGGTTTGTGTGTGTTCATACTGCCGTTGAATCGCTGATTAGGTTGAGCACCCGCCGATGCTGAGAAAATTATGATACCCCGGTATAATGATTATAAAAATGCTTAATAATAAAGAAAAAAGTGGCTCTATCTATAGGTTCTCATGGAAGATGTTACCATGGGAACATATGTGTTACCGTGGGAACAAAAGTGTTACTATGGGAACAGATGTGTTAAAGTGGTAACATATGTATTACCGTGGGAACATAGGTGTTCCCGTATGAACATTGCAATGTAAATTGGTTAAGGGAATAACTATTTCAAATCAATAGATCTGGCAAGAAGTCGAATGATCATTTGTCGTTTTTTGTCATTTATTAATTTCTTGGTTATTTTTTTTAACACAGAGGAAATGCAACCTTAACCATTAAACCAGGGCTTTCCGACCTCGCACCCGTCCTGAAAAGCGACAGGCATACCGGAATCCGACAATGAGCCCGCCGGTTCCAGCCCCACATTTGAATAGTTACCTGCATTGTTATTGGTGCGTCGATTGGTGGCAACCCTGGTGCGGGAGGTGGAGCGCTGCGTGGTGTTAGTGAAGTCTGTTATGACCGGCGTCAGTGGCCGCGGTTTCTGACTCGTCTCTTGTCTAAATACAAACCGATTATATACTAACTAAATAAGCATCATTATCTGCCTATTAATATCCCCACTGCTGGGAAATAGACCACTCCTACGAATAGGGGAGAACGGGCCATGAGCCACAGTGCCCTGATTTTAACGACTCAGATACAGCCAAAACCAAAGGTATAACGTGCGTTCTGAAGCACGAAGAAACTATACATATTTGGTTACCTATTCTATGACCGGCCCGCAGACAGAAAAATCAACCTCGCGAGATCTATGGATTTAATGGATTTAATGAATCATTCTTTTCTCTTTAGATCTGTATATTTATAAAAACATCATGTAAAATGGATACGAAGATAATTTTAAATTTAAATATAAACTTATTTCAGATAATCTCTCTCAAATAGTTTTTTTACGTGTGCAAAATAAGAATAAACAAATAATGTAATATGTCAGTAATCAATCGAAATAATGAAACTGCACAATGTGTTTAAATTACAAAAAAAAACAGCACACATTATGCAAAAAAACATATGATTAACGAAATATGAAATCACTGTAATAATAAATCAACGTAATGCGTATTAATTACATCAACAGACATATAGAACAAGGTAAATATTTTTAAGTTGAGGATAATAAAATATTATATTTGGCCAATTTTGCCTGCACAATGTAATTATGACATTTTTCTTTACGATATTAATAAGGATGACGATTAAGTAAAAAAAAATACGAGTTTAATATTTTTCAACAATCTACCTGACGGACGTACAAATAAAAATTAGCCGTCATCCCAATTTCACTGTTCTTGTTTTATAGAATTGTTATTTTTTTCTTGCATAATGCAATAAGTGGCTATCTATTTCAAAATTTTTGCCATCTCTGAGTTTAAAATCGTCTAATTTCAAAATCTACCACAATAGGTAACAATTTGAAATTTGAGATAATTACTTTTAAAAAAAAGATGAATGATGTAGATTGGAGTAGTTTAAGGCAAGCATCTTTTTACTGGCTCCATTCAGTCATTTAGACAAGCGTTAGACGCTAATATATTTAAAGGCCATAGAGCTGTAAACTAACTGCAATCTTTCGACGGCTTTAGTTTTCTATTATGTTTTTTGATCTTTCAAACCAACGTTCGTTCCAAAAACGATTGCGACTTTAAAAATTTATATAATTCCATAAATCGCTAACACAATCGTTACACCTAATTATACATATAACTAGTTCTTACCTTGTCTTTTTAACTTGAATATTACTAGAAAGTTTCTCCAATGTGATTTCACCAGTGATTTTATCAATTATTAGTACACATTCTTTCGTGTAAGGCCTCTGGCTACCCTTGAATACTGTCTGTGGCACACCTGCGCCATCTGTGAAGAGAATCATAACGTTTGTGTTAAAATTGACATTGCTAAAGACTATGGTATCATAACAACAAAAGCATGTTTGTGTTCCCAAGATTGGACCACATAACTATATATGGAAATATGTATAAAAAGAACATATCCACCATGCAGGCCCTTCCCAGTCTCCTTACCACATATTGGTTGAAGCATATCTACCGAAAGATCTGTTGAGAAGCGTCACATTCCGTGACCTATTATCTTTAAAAGTAAAATGATTGATGTATTTAAGATTTGCGCACCGTTTTTTTTATTTTATTTTAACTCCCTCGAGTGTATATCCGTGCGTGCGTGCGTGCATGCGTGCGTGCTTCGATTAAATTCTTCCTTATGTTCAACACACCAAGAGTCAAATATATGAAGTCAATTAAATGGTATTCTACTGTTGATAAATCTAATACCAATGTTATATAGAGTAAAGATTTGGTTGTTTATTTGTTTGCATTGAATATACTTTAGAATTTCTAAAAAAAAATTAAAATTCGGAAGATACGCCACGAGTGATATAAGCTATAAATTACGCAGGCGGAGTCGTCAAAACAATTAAGTAAATGACTATCTTAGTAAATTATAAGTTTCATATAAACTGAATAAAACCTTAGTATAGTACAGTAATTTAAACACCAATTATGTGAAATATCATTCATTTGAATGTAATTGGCCATTTGCTAAACTAGAATTAATGCTAATGATTTCTAATTACCCAGGTGAGGCACTGTTACAGTCACTTGATTGTTAGTACCGACGTCTACGGTCGCCATTTTGTTGACATCCACCGACGCTGGTTTGAAGTCATCTGAAACGATTATATTTTGTTTATTGAAAGTTTTCACAGAAACAAATAAAATTAATCAAATACATTTTACTAAACTAAAGCACTCGTATTATGGAAATCTGAAATAAATAAGGTACAAAATCACCCAGACCCCGAGACAATATAAAAAGATACATCGTCAATGTTGATTCAAAAGGAATGGACTCGTGACCTCAGAGATGGCGCCACTTTGAAATCGGAGTGCTAGAACTACTAATATCACTGAGATCAGCGCGCGAGCTGATCTACCAGCAAGGTACTAATACGGCAAGGTATCGCCTCTTAGGAGTGCTTGATTCCCGGTCTGCTCAATGAAAATTTCACTCTCATCTAGAGTCTATTCACTGTAGTAGTTTTTTGTTTCAGATTTTCATAGCACAAAGATTTCTCAACACATACTTTTTTCTCTATGTGCGTGTGTGTATATGTGAGCGTCAAGTCCAACTGTTATAACTACATAACAACGGAATCAGAAGCAGAAATCTGTTGCATCACTAATGTGTACTCTTTCTTAATATTAATTTATAACAATCAAAATTCGAATAATCCTTTGGTTTTCTTTTAAGAAAAAAAAAACAGATGGTTCATGAGCTATACTTACATTTAATTGTATGATATTGTGAAGTTTTATTATTAGTAAAACTAGCACCCAAATTCAGCTCCCTTTCAGAATAATCCAAGGTTAGTTTGTCAGCCATATTTGCTAACTATGCCATAAGTAACTGTTTTTGTTCTGTAAAAAAAAAAGAAGACTTCAATTATTACTGACAAACATTGACACCATTCGCGATGACATGTTTTTATAATATACAATGTGTAACAGAAATAATGCACATCCTTATTATTTTATCAATCGAAAATTGGAATTATTACTTTTATGTACTAAAACATTGTTTATGTTTGGACAGTTATACTTATTGCTGGGTAACAGTGTGGACATCTTACATATCCACACAAAGACATAAAAATAACAGCTTAGCCTGCAACTACAGATGTATGTACCAACAGCGCAATACCACAATGATACCTAGCTATCAATAAAAATTCTCGACATAAAGAATTATTTTATTTTGAGATTCAAAGTGTTTTATTAAGTTAAGACAATAATTATATTATTACTTGTTATGAATCATAGTTTTGCCATCACATATCACAAGGCGAGCACAGTATCACCACATTCTATCCTATCCCTTAAGAATTTAGATATATAAACTGTACGTTACTGTAACGAAGAATCATCGCATGTGAAATTGAAAATACGATAAACTTAAATTGCGAAAAAATAACACGACGTAATATTAGTCACATATGACTTGATGACTTGTGGTATATTATTTTTCTCTTTGTTTATGAAATATTTTACTCTCTCGTTTATGAAATTGTGCAATATAGTGTTTAAGAGCATTTTAGACTTAAGGCACATTAAAGAAAGCTTATTTTTCTTTGCCTTTTTTTTCCTATGTTGTATTTTATTGTAAGCTAAGAATATAGTTACATTTTCAAAAGCCTTATTACATTAAATTAAGTTTATTTTCTGTTTGTGATGGCTGTAATGGTTATAGGTGACCATAATTTACTTGATTCCAATTAAATATAACAAAAAAAATTACCTATATTAGAAGTTGTTAAAATTGAATCTGTATCTGATTTTAAACAAACTGCTTTCAGGGTGTGCGTTAATTATGTTACACATTGTATTTAATGTGGTAAAACTAATACCTATATTTCCGAACCTTTAGGTTTGAAATAATAGTTCCTTCTGATCTGAAGCCCTCCTTGATTACCTGTAAAAGAAACTAGTTCAGAAGTCTGGAAATAAGAAGTATAATTTATACAGTCAACATCATATCAATTTACTACAAAGGAATTTTTTTCTCAATACATTTTAAGTCTTAATGGTCAAGTTCATGATGGATTGCAGAAATTTGGTGTTCAGTCTTTCAATAGAGGAGACTGGGTCCAATTTATGATTTGATCAAGGGAAATTGCAACCATTTGGATTCCCCCAGGAGAAGAGGTCCGGGACGAACTGTCCCCTCCGCCCCCCCCTTAGACCGCCACTGGTCCGGTTGAAAAGAAGAATGAAAGTGAACGAGGTGAAAGTTGTCAGGACTATGCCTTATGCTCAGACCGCTCTGTCTTCCTACAAGGGATACGGCAAGATATATATGGATAACTTCCACTAGGTGTAGAGGAATTTTTGTATTCATTGCACCACTGTCAAATGTCTGATAAATAACAAAATATTTATAATTTGAATAGATTTTTACGAAATTGAATTTTCAAACCATTGCAATAATTGCAACTAACAAACATGATCACAACATACATTGTTGTAATCAGAAGAAACGTAGCAGCCAATAAATAATTCAAAGGTTATCTCTGTTGATTATTTCAGACTAATAATGTAACAATGTGGAAATTGAATAAAAAGTTAAAAGATGCAAAATGTTTGCTAGAACCTATATTTCTCTACAAATAAGAAACATTGCGCAGCCTGTGAAGACCCTAAAAAGCTTCTGGGCAGTGTTGAATTGGCTGGAAGAAGACAGCCAAGTTTTCACACACAATGGACAGATTCAAGTGTCTAACTTAACCTAACATAACTAAGAATAATAAATACTAATTGATAGGATAAAGATAAGCATAGGATAATGTCACTTATGTATGATCACTTCTTTCCAAGAGAATTGTTTCATATATGTTGTATTAATTATTCTAGAGCAACAAATTACAACATTTTTAGATACATAAGTTCTTCTCTTTTGATTTCATGTGTTAAATATCTCAGAAATTAATTCTTATATAGGCTAAGAAACTGATTTACCTTTTTTCTATGAATAGGTGATAAAATAATCACACTTATAAATAAAAGAGATGAAGCTAAGTTCTGAAATTTAAAAAGCAATAAGCATTCAAACCCATCCCTCACATGAGTTGACTTTTAGGACTCAAGTGGTAAGTTTTTCACATTCAAATATGGTATTATATAATAATAATCATCTATTTCCAATAATCTTAAATATAACTCCTGTAAATTTCTAACATGCTGGAACCTTTTCTAAATAACACCCGTAATGTCATTTGGAAATAGAAAGTATAGCTAGCACAAAATGCAAGAGATAAATTATTTATTAAATATTTTTGAGTAATCCCCAAAATATTATCACAATAATTTAATAACTTTTAGTTTGATAATGATTTTTTGGAATTAATCAATTAATGTGTAAATATTGAGATATACTGAAATAAAAAAAAAACATTTTCTTTGTAATAATGTGAGAAAAAATGGAAGGACATTTTTTAAAACGTAACCAAAAGTAATATTAAAGTGAGAGTCATTAGATATATTTATTATTAGTGAAATTGTATTTACTTATTGTGAAAATCATAATCCCAGCAGTTATTTTAGTCAACTATAGGAAACAACAATAAAACTTAATAATACCAATAGAAACCAACAAAAATATAACAAAAATAATGTGTGATCTCTACACAATCAAACTCAATAAGTGTACTTGTCAACCAGTTTTTATTTGTTAACAGTACTGATTTTTAATGCAATTATATCATCAAAATGATGGCCAGGGACATTGGACATTAATATACTAGGATTATACTTAAAATTACAGAAAGAAGTCTTTGGAATTGTGAAATTGACTATATACATGACAACCTGATATAAGAATCTAAGAAGAAAATATTTTTTAGCATTAATTTTAAAAAAATAGGAATAAAACAGACAAATTTGTGAGTTTTGTGTATATCCTGATGTCCTGTTGACAGTATAAAGAAACCAATAATCTGTAATCAGGTTATATTTAATTTTATGACTAATACCCATCATATATTTCAAGTTGAAAATGCATATTAAAAAATATATGTATTACTTAAACAAAAATTTTGCAATAGATAGTCCCTTATCTTTATACAATTAACATGATAAGTGATAAATAAAACCATTTTAAATTTTAAAAAATGCAGTACTTCACTAAGTTACTTAATTACATAGACCAATGAACTCTACTTTCTACCAAAAAAAATCACTTACTCTATAGGCATTTTTAATCTAAAATTGTTTCTAATTAGTTTGTAAAGTTCCACTTTAGCATTAAACTCTAATCTTTAGTACATAAGTAAGATTTTTACTACGTAACTTTATACTACACAATAATCAATGGTTATTAATGTAGAAAACAAAAAAGCTATGTGCAAGAATTGAATCGTACATAAATCTAAGAGGTATATTCGACAATAAATATTTCTACTTTTATTGACGTCTACATGCTCGGGAATATGAGATTAAAAGTAAATCCGATAAAATACGATGTTAGACTTGTTAATGTGAAATAAATTGCACTAAAAGTATATAAAAAACAGTGTAAATAGACAAAATATGGCAAACAATTTTCTAGTATAGCTGGCTCTACCTTTACCTTCGATTAGGGTTCCGCCGAGGTTATGTACAATCTATCCCGTAGAAATAATTTATCATTATGGGAACGACTTCCAGCTGCTTTTCTATGAAGACAGTTTTAATGAAGCTGGTACGTAATGTACTTAAAATATTGCAAAAAGTAAGACATTTACCTACTATTTTTTCGACCTAGTTCCCATGACGTTTGACGTACTTACTATCTAGTGATGTGTTCAACCTATAGGTATAGGTTTTCTTTTTCAGAGATAAATCAATTGATAGGATGTATTACTAAAGCTTTCAAAGGCAGCACCAGCACATACATTATTGCATATAAAGGTAAGAATGGAAATAAAATAATATTTTAAAACTTATAATTAATAAGAGTTTATGGAATTATTAATCCATCAGTAATTAAAGTAATATTTTCACTTTCTTTCTACGAAGTAATGGTTTAAAATAGTTCTGGTTTAAAATATATTTGGTTTATATTTTATGTGGATATTTTAAACTATATCCAAAAACATATTTAATTCAGTATGCCAATAATGGACTGTCTTATGCGATTAAAAATCCTTAAAATGTAGATAATCAAATATGGATCACATCAATACAACACTACCAAGTTCGATGCTGCCACTTGCTTATTGCGATAAAATACCCGCAAATCGGGTAATTTCTTGTATTTTATCTCAGAGTACAGAGTATGTGTTTGAAAACCATATGGATTCGTTATACCGGAAGCTCCAAAAATAAGTTAGGTAACATGTTCATTTTCAAAACATAGAAGATGTAAAAATGGAGTTAAAATTCTAAATGACTTATAACACGCATGCGCTATCTGAATTGTGAGCAGATTACAACGGCCGGCGAAACACATTAATTCAATTTAATTATTTACCGATATCTTATGATAGTCGATGCTGAAAATGTCCACTTCCTCTCTTCAAACTGATCTGAGCATCACATTTCACTCAAAATAAACATAATCTTCACTAAACTAAAGTTAAACCCAAGACAAACACTAACAACAATTAGAATAAAACTGCACTAAAACAAAATAAAAAACGACAAAAAAGGCGATTCGCAGTGTAACCGACCGGAGGCGACAGAGCGAGTGGAAAATTGTCGGAAAGGATAAAGAAGCTTTCAAACGCGTTCTGAACTGTGATTGGTTAGCGCGTGCGACTGTTGGGAGCGGGCGACAAACTCGGTTCACCTTTTTTAATAAGGAAGTATTTTAAGTAAAAAAAAAAGCACTAAAAGAGCACCTTACTAGATGGCGACTTTACCAAAACATGATTTTTGCAGGAAACGAAAAGGATTAACATAATAAAAACTGAAATTTGCAAATAAACTCAGATATCAATCCAAATACGAAAAAGTACAAATTAAATATGAGTTGTTTATTGAGTTTTGAAAATTAATTTACTTTTATATATAAAAGAAAGTCGGAAGAGTTGTCATGGAGAAATCAAGACAGTACCGAAATGTAACATCTAGTTACATTTCGGGAACTAATATTTTGTTAGTAGTTTTTGAATTTCTGTTTAAATACAATTTTGATAACAAATTCCTCAATGTTTTTAAAACAAAGTACATTTGTGTTAATGATCGACTGTTAGATGACTTGTTAGTTTATCGAGTTTAATAAAGGATCCCGTTTTTAAGGAGTATTATACCAACACATCTTTTGGAGAACTCTGCTCTTTTAATATATAGTAGGTTGACGTTCGACTGATCTTTCTACATTGATTTAGGAAACGTTGTACTCGATTTCTGAATTGAGAACTTAAAGTTAAAAGCGTCTCAAACTAACGTAATTTGAACAGGTTTTCGTTTCCAATTTTCCTTTTTTTAATGATCAGTTGATAGCAGTTTGATAAAACAAGGTTTTTTTTTACTTGTAAAACATAAAAAACTTAAATTATTGTGAATAATTAGTTGAGATTTTCTACTTTTTTCAAATTAGAAACCGGCTGTTAGTCTATTAATTGATCTAAGTATTTTGACTGCTGTTTAGTGATTGTCTGGTAGAATTTGTATGAAAGCCGTCAAATTGATCACAAACTAGTTTATTTCATTTTTAGAAATTATGAGGTCAACGACCGATTAAGAACTTTTTCATTATTAGTATTTCCCAAAAAACATCTGACAACTGACTAAGGGTTGAACACTCATTTATTTACAAAACCTTTGTAATTGTATTACTCCGAAACTATTTTACCTAGACATACCATTTTTTACAGGGTATAATAAACTAAAACTACTCTTCAGAAACCTTGGTTTTCTTCAGAAATCAGTAAGCAGGACCCTCACAATCAATTTCATATTGATAATAAATGTCAAATGTAACTTCTTATAATGCCCCTACTTTAAATGGTTAGGGTAACATAATTACTAAAAGCTGGCAGCATTGGACCTACTAAGTCTGTGATTGGTGTACTAAAAAAGTAATAAAGTCAGTCATTTGCGTTGTTCCTTTATCATAAAAATTTTGTTATTTTCACGCTATCTGTTATAATTAACTTATAAAGTACAGACAAAAAAGTGTGAAGTAAACGATTGAATTCTTTATTTTGAACAAAAAAAAATACATCGCCTTATGTTGCTGTAATTGTCATGCGTGTGTTTTGTTTGGTCCTTGCTGAAAATAATATTTGTACTTAGATTTTACGTAAGAAGGCCAGTATCTTTAACAAAGTAAATCAAGCTGCAAATTGCATAGCAACCAAACAAAATGACAAAAAAGTCTATATCACTTGAAATCGATCATTCGATAATGGAGAAAAACATGAGAATTGTTAAGGTAAATTTATATTATATTTAGTTTATATTCTCTTTTTATCATGTAATAAGTTTAAATTCATAAATAGGATAAAATAATTACTTGATTTAAAAACCTATCAAATGAATCTTATGGACTTGGTTAAGCTGAGTAATAAACTACCCTAATCAAAGATTTCTTTTGACAATGAACCTATGGAATTTTTCAGGATAATCCAGTAGAGGAAGAGTTTAAAAAACTCTTAGCGACAGTGGATCCAGTGCCTTCAAAACTTGTAAAACCAAGGCCAGGTAAGTTATGAAAACTTCATGGCCTAGCCTCATTGAGGATTCGAAGTAGCAAACAAAATAGGGTATGATATAAAGTTAAGAATTTTGTTACAGTATTTTTAGGAAATTCACAAGATTTAGCAAGGACTGCAAAGTTGGAAAGCTATTTTCAATTATTCAAATTAGCACATTTACATAATTTTATAAGAAATTTTTGAAAAAAGTGAGATTTTTTAATGGTAATATCAACAAGAAATTTTTATTATTGTTGTCATTAAAGTTATCTATAATAAAATTTTGTATTTTTCTGAGTCTGGTTCATCCTGTTAAAGAATAAATATTTTTTGTAAATCCTGTTTTATACATTGACCTCAAAATTGATTATCTCTATTAGAAATGAATTTAATAATATTGAATTTTTGTAAATATATTTTTTATTACCACATCACTTAAAACCTCAAATCCAAAACATCACCAAAGATTACCCATTGTATGTGAAAAAGACTAGCAGATATTTGTTAAAAACATATGTTCTACATTAAAAGATGCATACATTAGGTTTAAAAACTATTTTGAAGATTATTTATTATAAAAAGAGCAAACTCAGCCAGTATTTTTATCCCACTAAACATTTCCCTAGGGTCCATGCGGGCGAAGTCGTTGGTGAAAGCTAGTATTAAAATAAAGCCAATTAAGAAATATTTTTAAACACTTATAAAATAGGATGATAACCTCCTTTTTTTTTGGAGGTGTATGTATGTAATTTTGTTAGAATTGCGTAATATTCATATATGTTGTATGGGCTTCTGAACATGTGGGAAATATTTTATAAATGTTGTCTATGGATATCTTGCAAACTATACTCCATTCATTATAGCATTAGACAGAAGTTAAATAAGGTTCTTTTTATGGTATACTTTGTGATAAAATATCAATAATCATGTTACTCTTAAGACTGACGGCTAATTTGATACATATCCACTTAAATACCAACTGCTATACTTAACTGTTCTCATTTAAGCTTTCTATTAAACAAATTTATGAGTATTTGACCAACTTAAATGATTTAATAACTATTACAATAAAAAGTGTGCATCTTAAAGAACCTAAAGAAGCAGGGTTGGATAGTTTAGGAACGATTCTCATGTCACTATAACTCTACCAAATTTAAAACGTTGCCTCATCCCTTCAAACGTTTCGGCAGTACAGTTTTTTAATTTTGTCAGACTATAATGTATTGATAATTGTTAAAATACGTATTTAGTAATAGTTTTGTTAATGTTTTTAAGTTTTGTTAAATATCAACGATGCCGATGCAGGCCCGAGTAGCCTACAACAATTAAGCTTTAATCCCCCATACCTACCTTCAACCTTTGACATTTCAGGAAGTTTTTCTAATGTCTTCATCTATAGTCTAACTAATGTCTGAATAAATGTTATAATAACAAATTCATTTTGTTTACCTTTCTTTCCTGGGCATAAATATAACAAAATTCTATTCTAATTATATGCACTTACAATGAGAATTTATCAAAAAAACAGATAAATAGTTTAAGTTCCATGTTGGCTTGAGAGTGAAAGATGAATTAAGAAAATGCTGGCCTCATCTCAACCCCAAGGTATCGTAAAAAATGGAAAATTGCCCAGCTCTTTCAGACTACCTAACATTCAAAGTTTCAACAAAACTATAATATATATTTTTTAAATTCATCTTTGAAATAAAATGTTCTGCACTGCTGCTTCTATGACCCTCTTTTTTCTAATGTTATAATGAATGGAGTATAGACGTTGCGGATAGCAATGATTCTTTTTTTTTCTTTAATTGCTTTGCTTTAAGTTAGGGTATACTGCAAGTCACATTAAATACAGTTAATTATTTTGATTATATAAGCTATTAAAATTTAATTTACTTATTAATAATTTAACAGACATATAAAACTAGTATAAATATGATGACCTTTTTTAACCTACTTCGAAAAAAGGAGGCCCCTTATTTACCTGTGTATGGCATCATTAACAGACTTCAAAAAGGAGGTCCTCTAATTGACCTGTATGTTTTAAAAAATTTAAAAGAAATTAGCTTATCAATTTGACCGTTATGTATGTAATTTTGTTGGAATATGGTGCAATATTCATATGTTAATCTATATGCTCTTCCATACACATATGTTGTATTTGTAAGTGTATATTGGGTATGTGTGTTTGCCAAGTATTTCTCGTATTATTTCAGTTTTTTGTTAGATTAACTATTTTTAACTTAGGGAACACCATAAGAGAAAACTTAATAAACAAACTGCTATCAGAATAGTAGGTCAAGTTAGGTTACAATTCTAACCTTACTTAAGACCCCTGATAAAAGAATTGCTTTAAGAATAGTGGGTTAAGTTAGAACTGCCACCCGTACAGAAAATATTTATACGGTAGATACAAGTATGTTTATATACAGATGGAAGGTGTCCATTTATTATAAGGATCGGTGAAAACTTATATTTCCGTTTTTTTTTTTAATTATCCGACAACAAGAAAATCATAATAAAGAGAAACGACTGAAAAAAGAGAAATAATACCAGAAATCTTTTATTGTTACATAACAATGTAAAGTAGGTGTTTTAGCGCTACTTCGTCTGCGTGAATTATGTAGCCTATATCACCAGCTTATAATGAAGTTTCCCATGAAATATACATGAATTTTTTAAATCGGTTCAGTAGTTTTGCAGCCTATTTTAAACAATTATAATTAACTACTATCTATAGTATATAATCATCTTACTGTCTGTACACTGAGATATTTTAACCTATACACCGAATTTTAATGTGGTGTTCATCGATATACAGGGTGATTCGAGAGATGAGTTTTATAATGTGAACCGGTGTTCACGCGGGCGAAGCCGCTGGCGGAAAACTAGTAATGTCTATATTTCTCAATCGAATACCCTCTACATTTTTAGGAAAGTCTCACTGAAATGGGTGGCTATATTCTTTATGTATTTTCAATTAAATTATTATTATATTTGATCAATGTTGCATTCATAAAGACAAAAATAATTTCACTAAGATTAAATTATTATTAATTATTTAATTATATACAAATAATTTCGAGAAAAGAAATAAGCAAATCTCTTTATTCCCTTTGCAAATAAAAGAATATTGACTAAGAATAGTGACTTGAGAAAAACTCAGTCCAAATAAAATGAGCTTTTTTCTTAGAAAAAAAGGATTTTAAATCATACTGAATCACAAACGCAATTAAATCTATACTCGTATTATATAGCTGAAGAGTTTGTTTGTTTGAACGCGCTAATTTCAGGAACTACTGGTTCGAATTGAAAAATTATTTTTGTGTTGAATAGACCATTTATCGAGGAAGGCTTTAGGCTATATAACATCACGCTGCAACTATCAGAGCGAGGAAATAATGGAAAATGTGGAAAAAACGGGGAAAATTATTCATCCTTAAGGGCTTCCGTTGCGTGCGCTGCAAAAACGGTTCAAGATACCAAAAATATATGTATGAAAAACTATGCTATGATAACAGCAATCATTGTTTACTTTTCAATTTGTAATTATACCTGTGTCATGCTATGAATCGATACCCAAATAAACAGTTCCCTAGGGTCACGCGGGCGGAGCCGCTGGCGGAAAGCTAGTTCATTATAGTTTAGATTTTAATATTGTTTATTCTGTAAATAAATCTATCTATTCTATAAAACTTTTATCTTATAAGATCAAAGAATACAATCAAATTATAATACTTACCGAATCTCTGCGATTTGCGACACTACCGAACGCTTCGGAAAATTAAACTACAATGAGTTGAGCCGCCGCGCGACGCTGAGTGGGGGGCGCCACATTCGAAAGGGAAAGGACGCGCTGGACGGCGTAGCAAATTTCCTCTCATGTATTGTTTGTTTTGGAAACGCAAAAACATCTTTTGAATTTTTTTATCAAAAAATGCTTAAAAATGCTCCAGTTATTCTGAGATTTTGTATCGTCAATGCAAATTTGTTCAATAGAATATAATAATTATATTGATGTTTAAAATAATGTTTGTTAGTTAGTTGCAGAATAGCGTTATGAATACAACATTGATAAAAAAAAATAGTCTTAATAATTCTTCTAATATTCGAGAAAATCTGGGTGGGAGTTGAATCGTGCCTGTGAAGTAAGAAATTATGTAATTAATACCCATGTAACCCGTATTTTAACTGCAGACTATTTTAAAAACAGAATAATGTTAGATTTTATTTTCCAATAAAGTATGTGCATTAGTTTTTTAATTAGTTGGTATGAAACTATAGACTTGTTAAAAATTTTTGGTCAAATATTAATTGCTTTTTATATAGGTATGTTTGTATTACATCATTTTCAGTTAAGTTTCAGTTTCCAATATGAAATTGTAACATCAATTGGGAAGACAATGGGTCCCATAAAACAGATCAAACAAGCATGAGGACAGGGCACAATGAATATTGTAAACTTATTGGAAATATAAATAAAAAAAAGTCAATTTCGTTTGTTTCGCTGAAACTCGATTACGGCTAGGTTGATTTAAGTTTTGAAATGTTGTCGTAGTCCAGGGAAGGTTTAAACGATGATAGGTGATACGAAATACACCAACATCTAGTTATTAATAAAATATACGTTTAGATGATGTGTACTTATTCGAGTTTCGGTCAAAGGGGCCGCCCATAAATTACGTTACACAATATACACAACACAATACTAAAGTGTGACGTCATTTATGGATGACCCCAAAGACATAATTGAAACGAAATATTCATTTAAAATTGACTTAAAGGCAAACAATACTTCTGTTTTTTTTATAGCTACCTGCATACCTTTACAATTTTACTATCATTAGAAAGGCTCACGCCATTGACGGTGTCCTAAACAATACAAGGGTTATCGGCTATTGTTTGTTTGTTATATTTTTGCAAATTATGAAGTTTAAGTTTTTTGTTGCCTTTCTTAAATTATTATTACAAAAGCTGATTCCAACTGTAATAAGAAGCTTCATCATATGCGGGTAAAGGTTATAATAAAAGCGAGTAAAAGTACGGGAAAGTAGCTACTTAAAAATGTTATGTTATTGTTGGCAACTTTTTCTTTTAAATTAAAATTTTGTGAATTTCAATTGAAAAGAAAAGGTACGTATGTTTTAATGAATTAATAGAAAATCAAAATTCCAGGATTCTGCGTCAAGACATATTCAAAGCCAGATAACAAGAAGGTTTTCGTGAACATATGTTTAACTGAAGCTATACCCTGTCCCAGGGACATAACAAATGATGAGCTCATGCAGATACTCAGTTCAGACGATCCGTCCAGTTACAGGGTCCCCATGAGCATCGGTGAAGGCAGAACCGAACAGGATAAGTCAGGAGCTCCAGCTACAGTTTACGATGTTGCCATTAACCCAGAATTCTTTAAGAAAGTCGAAAACGACGATTTATTCCGCACATTCTTCCTGACAGTTGTATTTGAAGGCCTCCAAGACAAATATCAGTTCGAATTGGACGGTCAAAAGTTTACTATATTGAAACACAGAAAGTCTATTGGTACATTACAATCTCATAGAATACAAATAAGAGATATTAAGAAATGTGAAGAGAACACTAAATCGCCTCTCATTGAAGAGATTGAGGAGAAACCTGCCAAAATTAGTGAGATAATAGATAATAAGAAAAAGGAAATGATATATAGACTCCGAAGAGAGCCTCCGACAGGGGAAATCGAATATCTGTTAGCTGAATTTAAAATACCTAGTGCTGTATGTTATTCCTTTATTCCTTAAATATTACACTACTGCTCCTAGAATGGTTCATCCATTTATTACATTGGACGTTTTTGATCCTCTCACTCTTCTATGAAAGACTTGACCGAGCCCTACGTATCTGTCAGTTTGCAGTGCCAACCTTTTACGATTTTGAAATGAATTCTTAATCCACATTGTCCTTAATTTAGTAATTTACCAGTCCGTTACGAAGTATTGACAAATAACCAAGTTAAAAAACAAAGGTCTTTACGCCTCAGCGAGGAATTTGTATTGAAGTATAGTAAATTTAAAAAAACGGTGCAAGCCACCTTTTAATTTACCAATCGGATTTCTGATTACTCCGATTCCTAGTTTTATCACAGTATTTCGTCACAAATAGTCGAAGTAAGACTTTGGGACGAAATACTGTAAGTGTACTAAATTATGAAACTGTTTTTTTCTTATTTATACAAAAAAGAATTTCCTACATTCTTATAGAACTTTGTAGGTTTTTGTGACTTCACGTTAGAACTGTTAAGACTTCTTCTCTCCCGAATCTAAGAAATATAAATATAATATAAGAAATATAACATGGTAGACTCCCCTCTCCCTCAATCATCTAACACTAAAAGCACTAAAATAAGAATTATTACTTTTTTAAATTTCACTCTTGAAGTTAGAGTTTTTAACTTGTAACAAATATGCGATATTTTTTTCATCAGCCTTTTACGTCCCCCTTGCTGAGGCTCAGGCCTTCCTTATGGATGGTTAAAGAGGACGGACTATAGACCTCCACGCTGGCCCAATGTGGATTGGAGGATATTAACGACTATAAATGAAGCCGAGCCAACGGCTTAACGTGGCTTCCGAAGCACGGAGTAGCTCGAGATAAATTTTTTTTGGTCACCCATCTCGTGACCGACCCTTGCAAGAGTTGCTTAAGAACAACAATCGCGGGCTGCGGCGCTTATCCACTACGTCATCGAGTTACTTACTTTGTTATTACGCAAGAATCTCTTTTGTATATTAAAATATCCTTTAGATTCTTATAGCGTTAACTTTGTGGGTTTTTGTCTAAGAAAAAAATTATCTAGGTAAACTCCCTTCCCCTCAATCCTTTAACGGAATAAATAGATGACACTAAAATAAAACAAATTTTTAATTTTCTTGTGTCAAATATGCGACATTTTTTTTTAATAATTTCATATCTGTTACAGATTGAAATGAAAGATCTGAATTTAGAAGTTGGTGAAGATCGTTTGGTTCTCGACTCTAAAGGGATGTATGAACCAGTGGATATCTTTCTGCCTTGCAGTGTAGACCAAGATGTAATAGATGCCCAACTCAACAGAAATAACGATGTAATTATAATATTATTATTTTTCAAACTGAGGTGTTCATTGTCGTTCTATTTGTATCATTTACACTGGTCGATAGTGCTTGCATAGGGATTTCTACCGTAGATTTGATCATTTTCATTGTTCGGTAAATTGCTTATCGGCCAATGTCGACGACTGACGACCATTACGCTAAAAATCAAATCAAATCGACGACTCTACCGTGTAACTGAAATCCCGATTCATCTGTTTAAATGAAGCTCTAGTTTATCTGTCGGACTGGCAGATGATCTGTCATTCGGAAAGATATTTTAGAGCTCCATTTTAAGAGATCAATCAGAGCTTCAGTTACTCTGTAGTGCAGCAGTTGGTTGATCATAAATCAATTTATTCAAATAATTATAATAATAAAAGGTTTATTATCATAAGCTTCTCGATTCGTCAGAAGCCACTTTCAGTCCAATAGTCAAAGCTGCATCTACTCAGTAATGGAACTCGTAAGATTTATAGATGGTGCGAAGTTAGCGTTAAATAATTTCCGAAGTTTATTTTTCTAATGAATAAGAATCAAAGACTTTATTTCGTAAGGATACATGTTTATAATAAAATATGTATATATATAAAATCTCCTTATTCAAACACTTATTCCGTAATTCTATCCGTTGCACGAACGTCCATTAAAACTCATTAGTTTAAAGCGACATTACTGATACAAACGTCGTTGTTAAACCTTAATGGACGTTTGTGCAACTGACCGTCTTATTTGGATAGGAATTACCGGATAGGTGCTAATGTTGTTAATCAGTCACCACTCTTTTTTTTTTTTGTTACAGATGCTGTCCGTAAAAATGCCTGTAATTCATTAGTTCCATCCAGTCATAGTTCCTAATTTAGTTTATGATTAAAGCATTAATAAACATATAAAAAGTCTTTTTTACCACTTGCCCTTTAACGATAATTACTTTCGGCAGCATAGTGAATAAGCGCCGCAGGCCACGATCGATATTGTTAAGCGACGTCCGCAAGGATCGGTCACGGGATGGGTGACCAAAAAATATTTCGACCTACTCCGTGCTTCGGAAGGCAAGTTAGGCCGTTGGTCCCGGCTGCGTCTGCAGTCATTAATACCATTTAATCCGCATTAGGCCTGTGAGGAGGGTCATGGACCATAGTCCTTAACCATCGATAAAGAAGGATAACCTTCTCAGTGAGGACGTAAACAGGTCTGATAATGTTAGTCCGGCGACGAACAGATAGAATTCTGAAAGATGTAGTAAACATTTTGGGTTACTTTATAATGACAAAACCGGCCAGATGCATCTGTGCGGGCGCAATAGCAATATTTGCGCATGATGAAGGAGAAATGTAAAGCCGGGTCTTCATATGAATTTTCTCTGTTCAGCGACCGGACTTACGAGGTTTACTACATTTCCAGAAGTATTATTTCTCCACTAAAGCATAAAATCTGTTGTATTAAGCTAAAATATATTAATTCTGTGAATGCATAGTACTTCTCTTTTGTTAAGCAGAAAAGTGTGTAGCTTAGAGCTTGTTCACGTACAAACGCGGGCACGGACGCCGAAAATTAATTTATATGTACTTGTTTCGGTGATTGCTTTTCTGAATTGGAGTTTTACATTAAGCTTCAGCACTGCTAAAATCTTCGTTATGATGATCATGGGTTCGAGTCCCATCTCAGAGTGCCAGGAACAAAGTGTATTTTTTAAAAAATTTCATTCAGAATATTTTTCAGTATAGCATTGTGAATGCAAAATTGCTATAGTTTGTAGCAATAATGTCTGGTCGTGACAAAAATGTGTAAGAGTTTTTTACAGCTAGATATTTTAGTATATTGAAGTATTTAAGGTATACATTACTCAGTAGCCAGTGCGGAGGTCCGGTACTGGAATACCTCTGAGATTTGCATAGCCACCGTGTTCCATAATTGTGCGGTCTGAGCAGCGCATTAATTTTTAATATTAAGAACATGCTTCTAATACATTTTTAAATATTTTGAAACTTAAAATGTATGGCCCCAATCTACTTCAAAGCGCCTGTCCACCAGGTGTTTCAGCACTTGATATAATATCAAGCTTTAGAAAACTCTTGCATGGTATGCAGTGGCGGATTAACCTCGAGACTCGAGAGACCCGGGGCGGCAACGGGTCCGGATTGACAACTTTTTTCCAACACGGGCAAAAACTTGATATTACGTTTACACCTCCACAGCCTCATAATAATATTATTATGATTTTAGCGGATATTCCAGCCATTCGGAGGTTCCCCTCCCATAGTCTGCCACTGATGGTATGCTATTACTTAGTACCCATATAAATATTTTCTCCATTGCTTCCCAGAGTTAGTTTTTACGTGATAGCTGTAAGAATATGTATTAAAGGTTGTTACTGTCTTATCGACGGGTTCTGAAGTTGGAATGAAAGAACAACTCAATAATTTAATTGTTTATTGGTTAATTACGCTTAGTTTTCACCATATTTATGGCTCACAGGTTCAATATGTTTATCACTTGGATAAAAACTTTATAACTAAATTAATTTAGTATTCTTACAATATATAAATAAATGCAATAGATATTACAACAGTTAAAATAATTATACTTAAATGTAATGTATAATATCGCAATGTTAAAATATGAGAAAAATATTCCAAATCAATTTCTTCTTAGTCTATTATGCCACACAACACAATTCTTTATAGTAGGATCTGCCTACTATAAAGAATTGTGTTGTGTATATCATAATAATAATTCTTTTAATATTCGTTTAAGCTTATAACAAAATGTGATGTCTTTTGCACTGTACATACCACATCAATACCCAGTTGCACAAACCATCTGTATATTAAAATAATCAGTGATTAAACTTAATGGACTTTTGTGCAACTTGGTGAAAGTTAACTACGTGATCACAATAATGAAAAATCAACAGCGCATGGGATACTAGTGATTCTAACTAATGACTGTTCAGCTGTATTATTATCAGTTCTACCTTATTACAATCTTGAAAAGGTCGACAATGTATGTTGTATTATACATATAAGTATCCAATTAAATTTGAAAAGCCCTATCGAAATTTACGTATATAAGTAGGTACATTGTTTTGTTTATCTCGGAATAATCAGTAACTAAACGGAGTTTCTAATATAGAGATTCTTATTTTTTTTTTTCAAATATCGATAGTCTGCATCTGCTATAAATTTGCAAGTTAAATTTAAAATATTTTAATAAAAATGTACTCACACTCCGACTCGTCTACTCTACTGAGGAACATTAATTTTGTATCACATTTAATAGTGAATAATACTACCCAAGGTTACAATATAAATTTTATGCCCACGCATAAACTAGGTTAAAGCGTTTTTGGAATTTAGAAAGCACTTTTTTAATTTTTCGGTTAATGTATCATATATGATACAAAGCAAAACAATATTCCATTTATTATAAATAAATATTTGTTCATCTTTTGATGTCTGTATGAATAAAGAATGTAATGAAATTTAGTGTAGGTTTTAATAAAAACAGATTCTTCTAGCACTACAAGAGATAAAAATTAACTACTTATCAAGATTAAATTGCTACAATTTTTTTTCTAAAATTCATCGTGTTTAATATTAAATCCTTGATTTCTGACGTCAAAATCTATACTATTTAATAGAGTATCGTCGTATTGTGTTAGATAAGCTTCGATATCTCTCAATAAAGCATCGTAATCCTTCAGTTGTAATGTAATCACTCTACTAAATGTCTGATGTTTGTTGCGGTGTAGATATAGCCTGAGGGATGGGTAGCCGGTTATATGTTCGTGTTGGCACAGGCCGCGATCGGATATGCAGTTCACCTTGCCCACTTCCACCGCGTTACGGAGTAACTGGACAATAAAAAATATTTACATGGATTTTTTCTAATATATACGAGGTTGTTTGAAATAATACTTTTAACTGTTTAATTTAAAAATAGCCATTAACAAATATATCGGGTAAATAAACACGTTTTATTGCCTTAAAATTAAAAAAAAACTTTTATGCCCGCAAAAATGCTGTTCGTCATATTCATGACGTCATTGTGATATTTACACAAAACCATAACTCTATGCACAAAACAGATTCATAGACTAGATGATAAATATATATATGCCAATAAAACATATATATATATATTGTACAAGTACAATGTACTAAAACAAGTACAATGCCATCGAAAGATCGATTACGAAATATAAAGATATAAATAAGCTAAGAACAGCGCCATCTAGGAATTTGATTAATAATGAATAGGTATATATTTATGACTAAACTGACAGTTGTCTCCACGATGACGTCACACAATGGCGGGACGTGTTTCAAGTAACGTGAAACAAAATTACGACTTTTAATTTTAAGATAGTAAGATAATCGTGCTATTTTAAGACTCAAAATCAGAATCTCTATGTTTATTACCATGTAAATTTTAGTTTTTGTGCAATTTCGTAACCTATTTTTCATTACTAAAACTACCCTATTGTAACGTAAAAACCTCGTGAGGCAAATAAAGCATCATTATAAACAATCACGTCCGTTTTACGAGATTTGATAATTCGTTACAAGTTACTTTAATTCAAAAATATAATTTAATTAATTGGTCGACCATTACGTTCGGTGTGTGGTTATTAATGTTCGAAAATACTATAACTTTGGATCATCTGTTTCACATAAATTATTTATAATATAAATAATGTTATTAAATTGATTTACTTACAATACTGGCCATCGCAAAGTCTGCATACATTTCGTAACAATGATAGCACCTCGGTGAATGGAAATACACCAACCACGGCTTCCTATTACTAGAAATAAATAAAAATATTGCCATAAACTATTTTATTTTATTAGATCACTAGCTGCTGTACCGTGACTTCGCATGCATAAATTATAGCCTTTATCAATCCCGTGTGATGTAGCTACTCGTAGATGAAAGATATTTTTTAAATCTGTACAGTATTTTTGGAGCCTATTCGATGCAATCAAACAAACTAAAACTATAGATATTATGCTTAATAAAGAATACTATAATTGTTTAATAGACTATATTAAATAATATATAGTTATTGAAAGAATAACATGGATAAGATATTTTTCCAAAATTATTTCCAGTTTAAACTGAATATGGTTTATATTGATAGTGATATTATTGATACTCAGTTCAAAATTAAAATCAACAAAACTCATCATTTCAGCCCTGTTACGTCCCCTCTGCAGGGGTTCAGGTCTTCCTTATGGATAGTTAAGAAGGCTGGCGCAATTCAAATTGAAGGGCAATAACAATTGCGAACGCAGCCGGGACTAACGGCTTAACGTGCCCTCCGAAGCACGGAGTAGCTCGATATACTAATTTTTGGTCACCCATCTCGTGACCAACCTTTACAAAAGTTTCTTAAGAAACTTCTTAGGAAACCGCAGCGCTTATCCACTAAGCCACCGAGCTACTCAAATACTATTGAGAGTTATATATCCTATTACTACTTACTGTTATTAAATCTCATTTTATGCTATGAAATTAGACCATATTATGAAGTTATATATAACTTAAAATTTTATAATTTTTATCTAAGTGCCGGTCACAAATCATAATAATCTATCAATTTCCAGTTGTATGTAATCTACCTACTTCGATCACAATTATCGAATTCTTCGAAGAAGCATACGAGAGAGAGATAGAAAGATATAATTAAAAACTGTTTTGTAACGGCACACATGGTTTTTCTGCACAAAAAAGTTATTTATAAAATTAATTACATAAAAAAATATGTGCAGTTTAATTATAGCAGCTACAATTACCTTGATGGGTTAAGTTCTTCCGCTGCAACGGATTTTGAGAATAAATTCCAGTTGAGCTTCTGTATTTCATCTATATGACTTAACGCCCACTCGAGGATATATGGCGCTTCGGACAGGTGTTGTAAACTCACTCTGTCAAATAAAATTATAAATTATTGGATCACAATTTTCGATCGTAACAATTTTGTCACAATACACATCACGTCTGCAATTGTGAAGTAACTTAATTGATAAAAAAAATATCTAAAGTGTGAACCACACGGTTGCAAACCAACATTCCAACAAAAGTGACCTAGCTTGTTGTTAATTGTCTAAATAGCAGTATTAAACCGAAATAACACAACTCGCGTTTGGAAACCAGATTCCCACCGAGGTCACCTTTGTTGGAGCGCCGATCATCAATCGTGTGAACCACACTTTAGTTTATGATGTTGTGAATTTTTTTTTAATATTTGTAGTTAGTCATTAATTCCATTACAAATCAATGATTGAGATATTTGCAGTTTCATAAGCTGTATTCCGCCTAAGATTCAAATCATAATTTAAGGGTATAAATTAATGAAGCACGCACTATGCAAGGTCAGTCTTGGATTCAAATAGTTATATGGTATGTTTCTTATATAGCATAAATACTAGTAAAATAATGCAAATGTACACAATAAAATTAAAACATCTTTTAATTAAAATAAAATATTAAAGAACAGCTTGATTTGTCCCGCATGTTTAAAAATGCTTGAAGTATTAGTATTGTATTTTTTACATTCTTAGTATTTTTTTTATAAGAATGACATTTCAAAATATATATATACAAAAAAAAAATATAATGTGAACAATTGAATTTGTATTGAGGTCATATATAATTTTTTGAACATGAAATATTAGTTCAAATTGAAATCCTATTAATTTTTTGCTATCGGTACTGGTGTACCGTACTCACGTGAAGTGTTGTCCCGACGCGAGCGGATATAACCGTGCGGTTGGCGATCGCACGTTGGTACAGAATCCGTGAGAGTGATGAGAACATTCCAGTATACCAACGCGAATGAACTCCAATGGACGGAGCTAAGGAAATGCAGAAAATAATTACTTAAGGCAAGATTGTAAGAAGTTACCACTTTTTAAACCGATTTTATTCTAAGTGTTGGCGACTGGCTGGAAAGACCATTTGATAGGTTTATTTGTTTTATTTTTATATTTGTTCTTTTGCTCTGTTAATTATCGCTTCTATTTTGCTGTGTTTTGTGATCTATTAATTATTATTATATATTTTATAATATATCCATTAGTTTTTATAATATAGTCGTCTTTCCCATTAGCTATTACTAAGGCTATGCTAATGTTTGCCAAATAAATCAAGAGCAATCTTGCCAAAGAGTTAAATGTTTTTAAACATTTTTCATTAAGATATTCTCCAGCATTGTGAGTACAAAATTTATCAAATATAATAAATAAAAACCATTTTATGAAAATTAAACGCATGATCGATTTCTTGCTAAAAAAAGGAACATAAATTTCAATAACCCTATTATTGACGACTAATTTTTATTTGTTCGTCCGTCAGATAGGTTATTGAAGAATATTAAATACGTAATATTTATTGAAATGTCGCATGACGTTACGCTTTTGTACATTGTTTCTCAAAACACATGTTTCTAATATTCTTCTCTATCTGAATGACAGACTAAATAAAATTTCTTTTTTTTTTACCCAAACATCATTCCTATTCATTATATCATTTTGCAGGTTTTCCAGCCCTGACTTCTAGACCAGGTACTGAATTTTAATCTTAGTTCTTCCACATATTGCAAAGCACGTTACAAAACCTTCGCATATTTTTATCACGAGCTATCATTCAATGATAAATAAAATTTTAGAAATAAATTTAATATTCAAATTTTTACCGCGGAAACGCCATTTCTATAATGGCGTCGCTATGACGTCACGGCACTCTGAAACGAATATCGTTCTATGTATGCATAAGGTTGAATTCTCTACGAGTATATGAGTAAGAGGGGCGTGACGTCACGCGCCGTTTGCGGTTACGTGCCAACGGGCATAAAATATTAGTTTTTTTTTCACAATTAAGCAATATTATACATATAATAAACATAATAGTGTGATAATCGATACTAGTATTTTAAACAATACCAGAAAAAAATGAATTTATTTTCGTTTACTGCCTACGCCAGAATTTATTAGCATTAGCATTATTTCTTTTTGTGGTATTTCATTTTGTCTCATATATACAGGAATAATTTAAAACCACTGCGAAGATTTTGTGAAAATAAACTTTAAGTAATTTAAATAAACACGTATTTTTTATTTTGATATGTTCTAATACTAAAAAATAAAGTTATCGCTTATCAAAGATCGAGATTTTAAAACTTAGTTTATGGACACCGCGCGCCGTGCGTCAGCTGAGCGCTCGCTCGACGCCGCCGTAGGCATGTACTCGTAGGTACCTATCTACACGGGTCACTGAACGCTCATTTTGTTAGATTCGAACTAGATTTTATGCCATGATCTGAGGTGATTTCGAAGAGTAATTCCAATTTTCCCTTCATACTTTTATGGTTAAGGCCATCAAAATGCAAAAAAATAAAAGAGAAACAAATTTGTTACCTAGAAAAAAATATTAACGTTATGCCGAAGTTACATAGGTACTTCTGCGTTAAGGCGTATTTAAAAAAATTAGAATCAACTACGTATTTACAATAATGTTTAATCAAAACAAATACCTAACTAATTACTTACCATGTATTTTAATATTTGTTCAAAATGAAGTCCACGTCTGTCCAGACATAAACGTGCACATTTCATTAAATTGTCATTTAATTTGTTTAAAACACTAGTGTCACTTTTCACTTCACTGAAAGCGTTATTATTTTTTATTGTTAAGTCTTCTAGACTTTGTGCCTCCTGTACATCTCGGCGTTTGAGTTCTTCCCATAAGAAACAGTCCCTCACTTGTGAACAATGCCTCATCCGTCTACAAGATGTTTGCATCACGGTGATGTAGAAGCCACTCACATAAGGCTCGACGTGGTACTGGGTCTAGGTCATGGAACTGCTGAACCGGCTGAAAGTGGTACGGATGGAGTCCGGCTGTTTTTAGCAGCTTCAATACCGCAGGCTGGCTCACACCAAAGAGATACGCCGCATCGTGGGTACTGACTCTGGGATTTCGTCTGTTAAAATGGTTCGAAGCATTAGGGGACCGCGGGGTTACGGATCCCACAGGCCCGCATACGAGGTATGCTCTTCGTCGCATACTTTCTCCGAATTGCGCTTATGTAGGTTCTCACCACTCAGAAGATAAACTCGTACATCTCGTAAAACTCACGACGGCGGGCGCGTCGCGTGCGCGGGAACGCGAGGACACGTCACACCGGCGCGTGCGTATGAGTCTCACTGTCGCGCGCGTCGCTCGGTCCCGGCGGGGCGGTGGGGGCTGTGGCGGGGGGCTACCGGGCGCGGCGGGGTTGCACGGTGGCATACGCAAGAGAAGACGTTTTCATTGAAGTTTTATTTTAAAAAATGTGTCCATATTCCACCGTTTCGATAGGGATAAAAATATTTAAAAAAATTTTTTTAACTAATTATGGAAAAGTGTTCTATTACTGATACTGAACCACCAAAAAAAATTTTTGCACTGGAAAAAAAATATTCCTGTATTGAACAAAATGAATCTTATGACACTCATATGAAAATATTACGCTTTAAAACTTGTAAAAAACATAAAAACATGACCACTTTTATTATAAACATAAACGCACAAATAACAAAGATTGCCCAGACGCCCATACGTTTTTCGATACCGTAGCACTGTGCGTAGAATTTGTAGAGAGCGTTTACAGTCGACTAGCAGCAGTTCCAGAAACATGCTATGTTCTCCGAAACTATTCATCGCAAACATGCTGTTACTTTTACATTATTTCTCAGATATTAATGCACTAATTATATATAAATAATTATAAAAGAAAAATTGTCAAGTAGCCTATTGTTTGATACATTTTTTCTTGTGAGCTAAATCAAGTTGTTATTGTATGTAAAAATGTATTAAATCTTGGTAAATCAAAATAAAAAGTTACCTTGTTTGCCACCAGACGCCACTGGTGGGCAAGATGTGAGCATGTGACGCCACAATCGGCGGGCAAGTACGCCACCAGCCAGGTGTGTTGACGACTAGATGGATCAGATATTTCCAACACTTGCTGCTCATCTAACTCTAAGTCTAAAGCGAAATTCATTGTAGAGTTAGTCACTTTTTTAAGTTAAACAGTTTTATTGTACACTAGTTGTATTCCCGCGACTTCGCCCGCGTAAATAATAGCCTATACCACCTGCGGATGGTGTTTGCTTCCCATAGGTGAAAGAAAATTGGTTCAGTAGTTTCAAGTAAAGAAACAATCAAATCTAAACTCTATATATATGAGCCTCTTGCTCCGTTGGAGTAACGGGGTACTGTAGAAAATACTTTGTGAAGGGTAATGACCCCTCCTCTGGGTATAAAAAGGGGTGATCACCCCCACGGGGATAAATCAGCTATACTTGTGGGTTATTATGAGTGGTCGGAATTAGGTAGAGTTATTCATGTATTTACACTGATTTCATACAGCGAAAGAATAAAGTGGATATGCCTCAAATCCCGAGATTTATTTTAAAGAGCAGAAAAAATCCCGTGATTTTTTTAATAGAAAGTTATTTACTTTTACACAATTTAAACTACTGCACGCACGACGTTGTCAAACTTACATCAATGACATCGGATGTCCAAAGTTGCAAAATACCAATACGCGCGATGTTGCCACGAAGGTCCACATTAATATCAACATTTCGATGCAAATACATAAATAACTCTACCTAATTCCGACCTCTGGTTATTATATAACCTTATTATTAAAATCAAATTTAATCAAAGAACACTGACACCAATATACTGATATTTGCCAATTTAAAACAAAATATTAAATTTGATTCACTACTAATATAATAATCTTAAAAGATTATAGATTAAGTACCTTCGCTATCCAACAGTAGCTGTATAAACTCAGTCAACTGATCCTCTTCTATACGGCCATCGTAATAATGGCGTTTTCGATTTTCTTGAATAACAATAGCGGGTTCATTCTGTGCCAACTGACGACAATACTTGTCTGTGTTGAGCGTGCACGTCATTATGCCAAACTGAAACAACGTTTTATTATAATAAAATTTACTTTTCAAGGGTTATGCATTAACTTATACACATTACAGAGCTGAATCCTTCTGAAACACTTATATCAAGAATATATACAAAGGGCATATAAAAAGAAATGTTTTATTTCTAATTTACCGGTTTATGCTGTTAAATAGAAAAAAAGCAAAAACATGTACATCATTAATATACTGAGGAAGTAACATTTAAAATATTGAATGAACAAGGATAGAAATATACACACTTATAACGTCATAAGATAACAAAGCACTGTTACGCAAGGGCCGGTCATAGGATGGGTGATCAAATACCCACTAATTCGTGTTGTAATGTAGAAAATGTAGAAAACGACTCTGGGTGTTGTGACACCACCGTTGTCTCATATCCATAATACGAGGACTTTAGCTATCCATCTTTGGATCTGAGATCCGGGATCAATGTATGCGACGTTGCCTAATATATACATATATATAATTATTATTTAAGTTACTTACGTTGATGTCATTGGAATCAATGAAGTTGAGTGCGGCCTTCATAAATGGATCTGCAATGTGTTCCCAGGACAATTTGTACGGAACCACTGCCAGGACCCACATGCTCGCGTCTGTGGATAAATATAAATGTATACTAATATTATAAAGATTAAAGTAAAGTAAAAAGTAAAGTTTCCAACTTTGTTTGTCTGTAGGGGGTAATGTTCGGAAATACTGATCCAGGGCCTAATTGTCTAATTTTAATTTTAACGCAATCCCTTTTAATTTGACATTTGCAAGATATTCACGAGTCACCGTTCAACTATTTGACATGTTACAACGATATGAAGCATGACATTTAAAAAAAATATTCTATGAATGATATCATTAAATTGACATTAATTGGAATTGTTTAAGCAAAGTGAAAAATGCTTGACACCTATAGAGAAATGTCAAGCTAAAGATTTGAATGCCAATTGCAATCTTTCGACGGGTTTAACGAAATTTATTGAAATCATTATTCTTTCCAAATACGATGGCAACTTTATAAGTTACATAATGCCATAAATCGCTATCGTAATTAATATACCTTTGAAAAAAATTACGATGAATTTTTAAATTTAATAATAAGCTGACGGATTAATAGAATTCTTTTACCTATAAGAAGTTACATCATTAGTTACTACAAGAATTTGCTTTAGAAACTGATGTATTCGAATATTTTAAATGGCAGACGAAATCTATATTTATTTAATCCAATACTGCCACAATGTTTGATATTATTGGTTTAGGTATTCAAAATAGGTCTAATATGCATTACAGAAAGGGCATACATTATATTACATTTATTTAATTAAATACCGGTACCAATAAGAAATAACTAACAGTCGTTTAGTTCTGTTCACATCATTCTAATGTGCCTTTGAGTTCTAGAGAAAAAGACAAAACATATAGAACGCTTATTTATACATTAGTTATAGGTAAGGCCTTATTTATAAAAGAAAATAACATTTACAACTGTCTCTTATATTTACAGATCGACCTTATATACTTCAGTAAAGGGTGAAGTTACATATTTTAGCGAGAGTTCTAATACATTATATTGAAAGACATATTTTTTTTTTGCATCATGTACACTACCCATGCAATGCCAGGGACTCTCCAGTTTTGTTGTTATGTTTCAATATTGACACAACTGTGAATACAAATTAAAATAATTGCCAAACTACAATTATTACCAGCTGACTCATTGACAGCAGTCATTGAGACAATTGATTAAGTATTACGAGAAATGAGCGTCAAAAATTTCTGATCAATTTACACTTTAAAAATATAATTATGAGTAGTAAAGTAGATGTCAGACAGAATAGATATACAAATCTATTTTTTTTTTAATATTTTTCACGAAAATAATCAGGGTTTGACTGGCAAAGGTTTAGAATTGGAATTATTTGCAAAAGAACATGATGTTCGTATATATTGTATAACGGAGCATTGGCTAAGCCCTTGTGAAATGTTAAACAATTTTTAAATGCTGAGTTCGTATACACTTAGGAGACTCCAGTAGGGAGGATCATTAATATTTGTAAAAAATCATAAGAGTCGTCGGAGTATATTTACGCTGAGACTGCACTTAGTATTAGTCAAAATTAATATTATTAAACTGTAACTCAGCAAAGATTAACCTAGTACGAGGTACTAAACGAGTAATAAGTAGGTTTACTTATTCTCTGTATAATTGTTTTGTCGTCATGCAGGCCAAAGAAAGTTCTAGCAACATTTATGAGGCAATAGCAAAAATGCTACAGAAATTTTAAATGTACCATTGCCTAAATTTAAGACTCATATTGAAAATTGTCTACTCAGTAAAGGATATTGACGACTCTGTATAAAATAAAACAGAGAAAAAAGCAGCCCTTGCCTTCTCGGTACATGGTCTCCTGCCGCAGACTTTCGAACTCATGACATACAGTTTCGACTTTCACAATTGCTTTGTATCAGCCTAGACGAAATAAATGATTTTGATTTGATTTTATGAACCATGGCCATATCGTGATCAAATGTGGCTTTTTATCTGGGTGGTTTAAAAAAACTACAAAAGTTTTTTTCGTAGGATCAAATCAAATCAAAAATTGTTTATTCAGTTTAGGCTTTTACAGAGCACTTGTGAAAGTCGAAAACTACGCCATCGGTTCGCAAAACTACGGCAGAAGACCTTGTACTGAGGAGGAATGCATTATAAACTATCCCAGGGTGGCATACCCACAAAGTCTTCTCTAAGACATTCTCATTTTTGGGTAAGGGCCTGGGATATTGAAGAGATGGCTCTTAACACAGACACCGAAGGATTTTATAAGCTATAGAAGTTGATGGCTTACAACTCTGATTTGCCCCCTCCTTAGCCCATGACCTGAGTACATCCAGGTGATATTGTGTTTTTTCGACAATTTAAAGCCTTATTAAGATCCTTAGAACGCTATCAGACATAGGTTCCCACTATTAAAATGCTTAAATACCATGTAGTTCAAAGTAATATTGCATTGAAATTAAAACAATATTGTAAGATAACATTAAACAATTACCTAGGGAAATGACTGAACGTTGACGTGTGTTTATTACTCTACACACACGAACTCATAAATTATCGCTATCACATAACTATTATACACTCATCAATTTGTAAGTAAATTTTATTGGGACAAATCGGCTACTTTACTCTTTGAGTAAAGTATTTTGAAATATCCATATGATCATATTAAACTACTATCAGATATATGATTTTCCAAAATCTTATTAAATAAAAAAAACACATATTTTCACGGGACGTCACGTGACTTTTCGAACTGTGACGTCACATTTCAATAAAAAATAGTGGTTGCACCCGTAACAAAGATAAGACGTTTAGTTTGCGTCGGCGTTTCAGTTCTATGTTATTAGTTGAATTTGAGTTTTTGTTTATCATTCTTTCATGTCGCAACGAGATTGACGAGTGATATGGGTTATTATTACCGCGGACAGCCCATTATTATATTTGCCCACTGATTCAAACATGAAGAAGCAAACATGTTTTTTTTTTTTTGTTGGGGATGGCAACAGCTTATAACTAATTATTACAATATTTTATTACAGCATTTGATGAGCCGATAATACTCATCCTCGATTTAACTAAAAGCTAACATTATCAAGCATATGATTATATGGAAAATTATTTTACATTTCCATTTAATAATAATAGTTTAATAAATAAAACATGCCTTTACTTGTCTTATAGCATGGTAATTGACAGACCATATTTATTCGTCTAAATTTTCGTTTTGCATTCATATAAACAAAGAGGTCATCATCATCATCATCAGCCCTTTTACGTCCCCACTGCAGGGGCTCAGGCCTTCCTTATGGATGGTTAAGGAGGATGGGCCATGACCCTCCACGCTGGCCCAATGCGGATTGGAGGGTAACAAAGAGGTCGGTTGATAAGAATGACATATACAACCGCCACATCGCCACAATTATATTCATTCCATTAAATATATCACAATGCCACTCGACTTTCACAAGTGCTCTGTATAAGCCTAAACTGAATAAATAAATTTTGATTTGATTTGATTTGACTCAGACGCCTAACTCACATTTAAAATAACAAAAAAAATTAATATGGACAAGAGTAAAATTTACATAAATAATAATAAAGTAAAACATGGAATATAAAAAGTAAATAAGATAAAAGGTTATAATTAATAGATAAATAAATAAATAAAGTGTTAGTATGAAAAATTTGGTTAGATGCATCTGTGCGAGTATAATAGCAATATGCTTGCGCATGAGTAAAAGAGACACATAATGGCGGGTCATTGAACGAAATTCTCTGTGTACGGCGACCGGACTATAGAACGATAAATACCTCCTTCCAATATTCTTTGCAGATCCGACGCAGAGAGTGTATGTAAGTTTGTAGCTTGTATAGCGGTCGGTATGAATGTTTTTACATCTGTTCCGTGCGCTAGTTGATATGTCCCGCCAGTTTTCAATACTCCCCATGCCGGCGGCTCCTCCACGTGGAGGGAGGAACATAGCTCTCCCCATTTATCACAATCGATCTCCGCTACAGTACAGAAAAAATATAATCTATAAAAAACTATTTTGAATTGGTGTAACGCGTTTATATTTGACTAGATTTCGTCAGCGGCTATTATCTAAGTTAGCTAATATATACCAAATTTCAACATAATCCATTCAGTACTTGCGGCGTGATTGACGGACAAACATCCAAACAAAGAAACTTTCGCAATTATAATATTAATAGGATTTCATGACGTTTCAGACCGTTTAAAGGTTCCGTGTTTTAAGTGCCTATGATGTCGATTGTGTGGTCGAATCTATATTTTTATACTAGTATTATAAAGAGGAAAGATTTTATTGTTTGTTTGTTTGCAACGAATAGACCTACATCATATGGCGGTGCACATATGCTATATTATATCCCAAAAAAAAGCAAAAGGGATGAAAATGGCAGTAAAAGTTTGTATAACGAATTAAATCGTTACCATAGTAACCATTTTTTTTCTATTAAATTTGTAATTGTAATTATATCCGTGTCATGACATGAATCAATATCCAAATAAACAGTTCCCTAGGGACCACGCGGGCGAAGCCGCAAGCGGAAAGCTAGTATATTATAAAGGGGTTAAGTTTCTTTGTTTGTTTGTAGGGGGTAATCTTGGGTGGGATCTTCGGATATATTAATCCGTTCATAAAAAATCATTCACCTGGAAAGGCACATCATACGCGGGTGACATAAGGTATAAAATAGTATGCGAAGTAGCGGGAAAATTAGTCTACTATTAAGAAGAAAGACTTGATTGTTTGCATCATATGGAAACTAATTAAATATTCTTTAGATGTGGATGACATAGGCTATAATGTATACGGGCAAAGTCGCGGGAAACAACTAGTAAATCAATAAGAATTACACAACATCATATGCATTGCTCATATCTCAGTATCTGGCACTGGAAAATTTAAGTACTTTTCTACAATTTAAATATACAATCAAAAAGTAAGTCAAAACTTACCAAAATTTATATTAGGGAATATATTTGTCATTTGATGTAACAATAATCTGTCGGTGCCTTTTGTTGAAAAATACAATACCCATGGACTTTTAGCACCTTGACGTAAACGGTTCCTTATATCCTATAAAACGAATAATAATAATGTAGTTTGTTAGTTGTGATAATTAATAAGCATAGTTACATATAAATTATTAGATTTGCTCTTAACAATTTGATAAAATTGTTAAAACATCGAAATTAAATTAAATATGTATACATAACATTATACTAACAAAAATAACATGCCAGGTGCAAGTGGATTTGCGTACAAAGGTTTTCATATTGCCTATTAAAAATCGCAAATAAATCATGTTTGTTGTATGCAAGGCTTTAAATATTTTATTTTGTTTTTAGTACTTTTTGTTTATGAGATACGGCTTGGTAACAGACAGACAGACAGCGGAATCTTAGTATTAGGACCCCATTTTTACCCTTTTGGTAGTGAATCTTAAACAGTGTTTCAAAACATATTAAACATGTCCATCCACAAATACGCGCCGCTCTATTCTAAAGTGCAGTCATTGTATTGTTTCGAGTTGCGGATTATCTTGGGTTTATGCAGCCCAGTATCACTGCGACCATTGCTGATCTATTGTGATCTCCACATATAGTTCACGGTCAAGATTACATTCTACAAGAAAATGTAGTATTTTCTTGGCCGTAAGTTCTTTAATATCGTCTGGGTGCATCACGTGCTTTACCAGATAGATACATCGTTTTCGCATTTAAAGTGCAGTCATAGGGTTACTTATTTGTTCTTCAAAGTAAGAACCCTTACTATTCGCAACGTTATTATGTATGGTAGAGAGCTGTTTTTTTTTTTTCAAAGAAAAGAAAAATAACTTATACTGTTTTATTACAAAACTTTGGAAGCTTAAAGCAAATTGATAATGACAGAAGAGAAAATGTCAAATTGAGATGTGTTCCCATATTTCGGTTGAATAATAGATTAAACCTGGTATTGAAGTAGAAACTTCCTCATTTTATAATAATACAGTTAAAATACAAATGGCATCCTCTAACCTTTAATTTTTCAGGTCCAATAGATTCAATTTTCGGCAGAGCTTCAACTATTTCTTTCACTACGTCATTCTCTTCTATGTTTTTTATTTCTTTCTTGATTTCTTTATATTTAAATACAACAGTTGTGTAGTCATCATCAGTTAACTTTGTTCGTAGATTGTCATCCTCCACTATAACTAAAGTTACCAAACCTTTCTGTGAAACAGATGATTTAGTTCAATATTTGTAGAGTTCAAATTATTCATAATAATAAAAGCTATATCATTAAACTGAACTTCAAAGATGATTAAATGGTTAAAGCAGTTCCACAGAATAGATTTTTACTTACTAAATGATAACTAATCCTTGTCAAAGCTCCCCTCTCAATTCGATTTGCACCTAATACATACGCTATAGGTTTGTTGCTGTTTAGTATTTGTGAGACTACAGCCACATGGACACGACTATTCAAATAGGCCATCACAAATTTATCTAGGTGCTCCAGGGTGCGTTCTCCACGATAGTATATGAAGTTGCCATGTTTTCCCTGTCATTGTAAAGAAAAGGGAATCTATCTTATTAGATATCAAGGTTTTATTTTTGTAATTTTTAAACAAGCATGTAATAAAATGATATAATAATTTGTAAACTTAGTAAGGTCATTTTTCACTACTAGTATTTTCAAAGCTTATAAGTTGACTAACACATTTATCTACATAGCCATAGATTCTTTTATTATCACAACTATCTCAGTGATGCTGACAATCACATTTTACAACACATTCAATAGATGTCAAGACAATGTATAATATGTGAGACCAGTAAAAGTTTGGAAGGGGTGTATAAAAAAAGAATCTCTGATTTAGAGGATAAGAAAAACCACATAAATGACATGTTTAGTGGATGTATTTTTAGGATACATATGTGTGTAATACATACAGAATGTTTTTATAATATTAACACTCACATTAGGGTAAAACAGCAGAGATGGGTAACTTCCTATTCTCATTGAATTGTAGCAAAACGAGTTGTGATATTTACAATTTACAGCACCGACTTTTACCTGTAACAAAACATTATTTATATTGGCATTTTAATTAAAATATCCATATTGCTTTCTTATGTTTTCTATGTGCACTACTTGTTTAATGAAACAACTTTAAACAGTTTTAGCATCCCTATATATTTTTTGGATAATTTAATTTAATAAATGTAAAAGTTTACTTAAAATATATAATTTTTGAATTGTTAATGTGTCCAATTGTATTGTTTTGAAGAAAGCTATATATAAACCATGTAACAGCAGTTGTTAACATCCAGCAATCTGTAATGGGTGCACATGGTAAGGCATGACCAATTCTCCTATTCAATTTCATTCATGGGCAAAACCTGACCATCAGCACTAGGTATATTATTAAGCTGATAACATGATTTGCATTATTATGTTTTGTGTACCAATCAGATTTATATACATCTATGGAGCCAACTAATATTTCAAGATTAAAAGATCTAAACTTACAATGCCTTTGTACATTTCCGCAAGCTTCTTCCAGTGTTCAACTAGATTTTGGCACGGAGGACAAAAAGGTGAATAGAAATTGATGAAATGGAATCCTTCATTTAAGTAGCTATCTGTAAGACAATAAAAAAAATATACTGTGCAGTTATAACAAGATAACTATTATGAATTCTAGAATTATTAAGGCAAAAAGTTTCCTTAACATTCCTCAACATAAAATGTAAGATTTTAGTATGATATTCAGTGTGATTATTAAAAATATATCACACTGAACAACTGATTTTTTTTATTAATTTGTACTCAAATTTAAAACATGTTCCATTCTCTTTTTACATTACTTACAAAAAGTTTGTCCTGAGAGTGTGTCTACAAATGAATCATCCTTGTACAATCCATTGTAAAAAAGATTGTTGTATTCAGATTGAGAATGGTAGTCATATTTTCTAGTGTATGAAGGAAATGAACCATAGAGATCATACTTTTGTCTTTTCTCAGGATCTTTTAGAGTTTCATAGGCTTCTGTGATCTTTATAAACTTCTCTTGTTCATCAGTGTTCTGAAATAATTTGTTCATTTAATTGCTGTTCATTTAAAAAGTATTAAGCTACTTTCACTATACTTACGGAAGTTTTATCAGGGTGTAGTTTTATGGCAAGTTTCTTATATGCTTGCCTTATTTCTTGAGTTGAAGCCTGTTTTGATATCCCCAATATTTCGTAATAACTAACATCACTAAGATTGACTGAGTTAATTATCAAAAAACTAATCAACAATAATTTATACCTAAAATTAAATGAAATTCATAAATGTTTTATCCTAATATCATTTTATTTGCTTGTTTTTATTGTTTATTATACTTACATTTCGAACCCGGTGCTTTTTAATGTCCTACATTTATTATTTATTGCGACAGCGATAGACTACGTGACACACTTTTTAAGTTATCTTTTGGCCTATGTACTTTTTGTGTAGGTGTTCCTACAACGCCGTGAAATAATAATCAAATACAGATTACGGCAATATCGAGAGAAAATGAGAAACAGACAAGCAGAACAAAAACTTTGACAGAACACAATGACACTGACCACTGACTGACAGTCGGTTGTTAGGTTTGGGACAATGAGGAAGTATTTAAAAAAAAGAAAAGCACTAAAAAATCACCTCACTAAATGGCGACTCTGGAGAAAGTTAATTTTTGCAGAAAACGAATGGACCTAAGACAGTCATTTCCATTTCATTTAACTAACATATTAAAAAACTGAAATTTACAAAGTTTGAAACTCAGATAAACTCAGATAAACTCAGATAAACTCAGATAATCAATACAAAAACGAAATAGTACAAATAGAACACGAGTTGTTTATTGAGTTTTGAAAATTAATTTACTTTTATACATGAAAGAAAACCGGAAGGGTTGTCATGGAGAAATCATGTAACTACCGTAGAAACATCTAGTTTGATTTTGAGTACATTTTTTTATTGACGTGGATACGTCTATGTTTTCGTTCTACAGGGGGGTCATTCTGTAAGCAGGAGCTTATGCACTAACGCCATCTATTGGCGTATAAGTGAACTATGCTTGCTCTGCAGGGGGAGGGGCATTCTGTCAGCAGGAGTATATGCACTAACGCCATCTGTTGGCGCTAGTGAATACTTTTTTCATTCAAGAAATGAATGCAACGAATATTTATTTATTTAGTGTTTAGTGTCTTCAATTTGTTTATTTTTCTTGTTTTTGAATTATTAATTTATAAATGCAATTATGTCACAACGTTGCATAATTCCGGGTTGTTTTGGAGAAGCGAATCGTTCAGTTTTTAGAGTGCCAAAGAACATTGATAGACGTGAAGAGTGGTTAAAAGCTATTCGTGATGTGTTTCCTAACCTGGATGTTGGTGAAAATTTTTAAGTTTTTGAAAAACATTTTAAAGAAGCAAATTTTACGGCATATATAATTGACAAATCTGGAAAAATTATTCAAAAGGTATCATTATAATATACAATACAATAAATAAAAAAAATTAGCTTTATGCCATACGTATGCATATGTACACATCCATCTACGAACACGTAAATATAGCTTTATCCTCTCAAGTGTGAACTTACCATTTCTTGGTAAGTCAAAGAATACCCCAAAGTGTGCGCTTACCATTTCTTGGTAAATCGAGTTTACTCAGTTTACCCGCAATTTTTTTTATTTTAAAGACGCTCGTAGTGTCACGGCACTATTACAAATGAAAATAGATGAAGTCTATGGTCTATTATTTATTATATTGGCACACCTGTGGTAGAAAAATTTTTTTTAATCTCACTTTGAAAAAAGTACCGCGCATTGAGATAGTCGGCGTATATATTGTGATATTAAATAAAAACTTGTGCGAGTTTTACTGTCTAAGCCGTGAAAAATTATGGAAAGGTAAGTACTTTTATAATTGTTCTACTTTAATTTGTGATTTCCTGTTTCTTTTTAAAAAAACAGACCATTATTCATCGGCCGGGTGAGTTACGGAACTATGAGTGCGAAATTATTTTGATCATATTTGGTGTTTAACACGAGTTTATCGTAAAAGTATTTAAAGAATTAAAACGTACAATTAATGTATTTCAAACAAATGCAATAACAAAGACGTGGTTTTATCTAAAAAGCTTAAATTTCCGCGTAAAATAAATGTAAGTCAGGTTTTTCCAATATTGGTTAAACTCACACACGATGTCTGACAGTGGTTTGACAGGTAATGACGGTGAGGTGCAATAGCATGGATATCCCTTTTGATTATTTTGCCGTCGGATTTTTTTTGCATTTTATATTTTACTAATTTCCTATTTTGTTATTCCTGTTTTATTATTATTTTTTTAAATTCCACATATTTTATTTGATTGCTTTATTGGCATGCTCATTGTTTTTCGCTTTTTTAAATAGTGGTGGACGAGGCCGTGGCCGGGGCCGTGGAGGTCATGGCATGAATAACACGCCAATTGGTGGACGTGGTGGCACGGCGGCTCGTAGAGGTGGTGTGCGCACACGCGGTGGCGTTCGCCCCAATATTGAAAGGCCTTCTTGTGCAGACTCGTAATATTAAGCAACTTAATTTTTTTTTTGTTTGCCTCGAAATTAACATTTTACTTTTGTATTTTTAGTGTAATTTTCCTGAGGAGTGTTGTTACATATTTCAGAATATTTATTGGCATGATGGAGGACATCCCCGAAGGTCGCATGCTGGAGGCGCCCCTCACGGCAAAAAAAAAATAGGACGTTTCCTACACATACTCCACAGGAATCTCCGTAAGTAATTGTTTCTTATTGTTAAGTTGATCATAAGCAGTTTTGTAACAAGAATTTTTTTAGGAGCGTCTCAGTGTGGTCTTCCCTGGACCTAATTGCGCCCAATGAAGATGAAGAAATATTTTGAATTTGATCCTGGTGATGCAGCATCAGGTCAAGGTCACCACTCACTTCCAATATCATTAAAATAAAGTAATACCAAATTTTAAATCGATCGGACGTGTAGAAGTTGTTGGACCTGATCCGACTATGAGCTGATGACCTTCAAACGGTTGAACCGATTTTATACTATCATGTAAAAAAAAATAAGGAAAAATATTTATCCACGAAGCACAAATTCCCATTTGATCAATTTACCGTATGTCAAAACAACAACAAAATTTTGAAAAAAATGTTGTATCCATACTTGTCTAACATCTATGTCACCCAAAATGATTGAATTTTCACTACTTTTGAAAACATATTTTTTGAAATATTTCTATGAAACAACTTGTTTTTTTTAATTTTATTAGATTTTTATATCTATGTCATTGCTAAAAAATAATACTTTTTTCCTTTGTAATTGAAAATTCCTCCAAAATTGTAAGTTTTCAAATGGTACTAATACTTATGTTAATTTGTAGCACCATTTTTGTTAAACTGTTTCTCAAAATCTTATTGATGTATCTTTATGGTGTTCCTTTCTATTTACAGCTAATATACTCAAATTATTGAAAAATACTAATTTTTTAACCCTAGCACTAATAGTTTCTTCAGGTAATGAAGAAATATGACACCCAATTATAGTTACTTTTTAATGGATGCATTTTTATGTCTATTCTTTAAACATATATTACATGAAAAAAATGTACTGGAACATGTTGTATTTTGATCTAATTATATTTATAATGTACCAAACTGTAAATAAAACATTATATTAGCTTCAAATACTGTTTTAATTTTAAATACCCTCAATAAATACAGCAAATTTTTAGGTACCACATATTAGATCACTTAAACAGCTTCAAATTAACGCCAATTCAAAAGTATTGACAGAAAATACGTAAAATAGTTTATCTCACATATTAATTTTAGTGGAAAGTATACATTTACTATATACTATACATAAAATCCAAATAAAAAGAAAACTTTCGTCATCAAAACCCCTGAGTGTGAGCTTACCATTTCTTGGTACCACATTTACGACAAAATGAGGTAAATGACATTCCACATCTTAGTGGTTATATGCGTTAGCAATAAAATGTAAAATATTTTTGAGTGAATTTGCTAATCTTTAAATAAAAATAAATAAATTCGTGCAAATTCAAGTAAAGGACATCGTCGAAAATGGCCCCAATATGAACAAGCATGAATATTTTACAATAAATCGCCGACATCTTTACTGTCATGTCGTACATGAAGCTGTTAAGGATGTTCTACTTGTAATGTATATAATAATCGATAACTTGATTACACTTTAATTTTTACACATTGAACGATTTTTTTCATTCGTTATAAATTGACATATTAATAAATGGCGAAATATAAAAAAAAAAACTTTTTAAAACTGAATACAATATTCGTATATGATTTAATCAAATACTATTTATTAGTACATAATCGTATGCTAATATTTGGTTAAGCATTTGAGAGTATTGCATGTTTTAATGTAGTTATGTTTTAATTGCATGTTACATGTTCGATATACATTACCAATCATATTATAAAAATACTCTGTTGAAGAACCTACTGTAGGTACTTAAACATAATTATAATTGAATAGTATTTCTTCTTCTATTTTTATTTACTTAATTCTTTATATAAGTTTATTTTTACAAAGAAACAAATATGGGTAGAATAAATAAATGTAGGGTGCTTTGTTAAAAGCAAAAACGCACTGCAAAAGTAAATGGTATCGAAAATCATTAAAATCTTTTTCAACCGAATTTTATCGAATCCCATCTTAGTGTATCTGGAACTGGTGATTTTTTTTATCAATTACTCATATATCCATTCATACATAGACGTATCCACGCATAAAATATGGCTGTATCAATGATACAGCTAACCAGGGTTTTTATAATACTTCCTCATAAAAACTTATTTGATCAAAAAACTTGATAATCAGGTTAGCTAATAAATAATGAGCCACATGCGTTACTTAAATTTTTATTCATTTATTTATGTAATAATAGCTAATCATTCACAATGTAATCACTGTCGTTATCTACCACTAGTCGCTAGCAATTAGGCAAAGATTGGATTGCGTCTCTATTAAACTTTTCCGGTTTGGATTTGAAAAAGTCATCTATGTATTGTTGTAATTGGGGTTCATTATGAAAGCTTTAATTACTAAGTGACCGGAATAAATTTAAATCTGTTGGCGCTAAGTCAGGTAAATATGAATAATGTGGAATTATTTCCCAGTTCAGCTCCAAAAGTTTCTGTCGGGTACTCTAAGCGATATGCGGTCGGGCATTATCATGAAGGAAAAATATTTTGTTCTGTTGTGGACGGTTACGATGAAGTTCAAGCTTTTGATTATCGTTCATTACAGTACATATTCTCTGTGATCGTGGTATTGGTTGGAAGAATTTTCCAGTATATTACTCCATGTATATCCCACCATACCGAGAGCATCACCTTGCGAGGATGAAGATCTTTTTTTTTTGCCATTGGCGCTTGCATGTATGGTTAACATACATAATCCACTTTTAGTCTCAGTGACTAGGATGGTCTAGATATTTAACTGTACGACGAAATAATAAAAGATGTACACATATCTCTGCACGGTATGCGAGTTAATCCTTGGTCAGATGGGGTATCGATTATCGTTGAAAATACTGCTAATTTTGAGCATAGACTACAATTTTTTTATTAATGAGGAAGTATTTAAAGTAAAAATTAGTTCTTGAAATCATACTAGATGTCACTCGCGATGTTTGGATTTTGTTTATTTGTAACGTAATAAAAGTAAATTGAGTATCGAAAATTAATGAACATGACATCGTTTTGTGTCATCATATCTAACTTTCAAATTAATTTTTTTTAATCGTAAGTTTAAGTTGTTAGTGTAAGAACAAAAAACGGAGCGCAGAATTCAGATTGTATTTGTATGTGTCATTTTGCATCCACAAAACGAATGATATTAATATAAATATCAAAATTAATTCAGTCTAGGCTGTTACATAATACTTGTGAAAGTCGAAAACTTTGTCAATGGTTCGCAAAACTAAGGCGGGAGATCTTGTACTGACAAGAATCGGCAAGAAACTCAGCAAGGGCCACTTTTTTAATTTCAACTACACAACTCAACTATACTATATTTGAGGGAACGTAACAACCTAACGCATACGACACCAGTCACCACCGCAGAGATTTTTAAGAGAGCATGACTATTCTAGGTATTTAGTGAATAATATATTTCAATTAAACTGATTTCTAGATTAGGTTGTGTATGAAGTCAATCTATTATTAACAATATTATTGTAAGAACCAAACAGCATATACCCCACCGTACGAATTAACTTAATACATGGCTCGACGTCCGCCGTCGACATGCAAGGTCGGTAGCATTTATATTAATATCGTTCGTTTTGTGGTTGCATAATGACACATACAAATACAAGCTTAATTCTGCACTCCGCTTTTTGTTCTTCATTCCAAACCTAAATTCGGATGAAAGTTCTCATCACTAATGTTGACGTATCAACCAAACATCGTTCTTTTACACATAACATAATAAACAACTTAAACTTACGATTAAAATAAATTAAAATTAATTTGAAAGTTAGATATTATAAGGAACCACAAAACGATGTCATATTTATTATTTTTTGATACTCAATTTACTTTAATTACGTCAGAAACAAAATTTGAATGAATATCATAAACAAAATCCAAACATCACGTGTAACTTCTAGTCTGATTTCAAGAACTAATTTTTATTTTTTAAATACTTCCTCTTTAACTTAAACTTTAGATAAAATTACATAACTATGATTGTTGTGAGATTATTTAACTTTAAAGTAACGAAAACAGTTGATTTTTCTTATAATAAGTAGTACCGACGCATATATTACCATAAATCGGACCGGTTTTTAAAGATAAGTTTTTAATGTTTGCGTTCTGGTATAAAATATATATAGCCAATTTTTATTATCTTTATTTAGTTCCTCGCTAACATTTTTTGTGAAAGATATATAAATAACAAAAAAACATGCTATTTTATGCGATATATTGCTTCACTATATACGATGAGTGCATATCTCTATGTTGACAAGTTAAAATTGAACGTCCTTCTTGTTATTTCTTGTAATATGAGGTTTATTTTCTACTGTTACCCTGAAATCAAATTTCAATTTCATTTTGATGCAGTCTACCCCATACGGGGTGGGTCCCTTTGCAGGTTGGGAGTACGTCTCAGAGACATTTGAGACGCACCGCCCAGACAGGGCGAGGCCTGGAAAGATGCCGACACTTTGACATTGGCGTTCGAGCTGGAATACTCAATACAAAAGATTATATTTCTGTATGAAATAGTTTGGTATCACTCTTTAAACAAACCTGACTTCACGAAAAATAAGATCATATCGATCAATCCATGTTTTTGATTCGGCTTTTAAATATAGATAAAATTATTCGATATGTTCACTTTTCCTACATCCCTAAAACTTAGATGACAGCTTGTTTTTTTCAGTCAGGCAAAGGATTACTATTCCTGAGGCCAAGTCATTATGTCAGATTGATGATGGATATTACAGTTATTTGTAACTGAACATATACAGACCCGGCTAAAGTATATTTTTATTCTATTTTCGTATTGAAATATCAGTGTTCATTAACCTAATTATCGACCTTTCAAAAACTATACCGACTACCGATTATAGAGACGGTTCAGAAATATTTGCAGATATGGACATGGTTAGGTTTTTCTCTTAACGTTAAATTGACCATACTTTAAAAATCACTCGCACATTATCAAGAGTTCTCCGTTTATTAAAACAATACGATATAGGTAATTTGACACTTAGAATATTGTATTCTTTAAACGTAACGCATGATATTTACGGTCAAATTATTTTATTAATAATAATAAATATTACATACTAATGACAATTATGAAAACTACTTTTTTCTTCTTAAATAATTTCTCATTGCCACTTTCTGGTTTCTTCTCATATATTTTTGCCTGACATGTGTAAATAGAAGCAATGGACACTTAATTATAAGATGAATAAAACTCATAAGTACCATTACTTTCAAATATTTTTTTATCACAGCATACATAAATGAATTATTTATAAAAATAGATCTCTGAAGAATGGCAAGACTTTTTTTCACGCTACAATTAATTACATACTGATTGGTAGCTTGCCAATGTTGCTTAAACATAGGTAGGTAGTTAATTACTCTTAACTTTACAGTAAATTATTACAATAAGTGAATTGGTTTCATATTTAAACAGGTTTTACACTTCCTAATATCGATAGTGACCCCGAAAGATCAAAGTCTCGGAAGCTCCCTTACAATCTTGATGGATAGGTAAGCTTAGCTTATAACACAACGATGGAGCTTTATTTCAATCATCATTGCTAGTTACTTAATAATAGAATAAATGCTTGTTTTTTATATAATAATTCTTCAATAAACAATAAAATTAATAATCAAGGATTATTAATTCATGGTCATGGTGGGCATCCTATTAGAAAATAGCGTAAAATAACACATATTTCACTTTATTTTAAAAGAAATATCATCAAGTCTTATCTCTTGTAGCTTGTACGGTTGCAAATACGTCCCTAAGAATATAACCCTTGTCATAAATATAAAACTACCGTAATTATAGTGATGTTTACTTTTGTGTTTTATTTTTAGGGCAGAGAAAGGAAGAAACCGCTTAATCTTAACTACCGCTCAGTCTCTCATGTCTCGTGTCTGCCTTAACACGGGACGTAGGAAGTGTTTCTGCATATCGGGCCATAAAATAAGATATTTCACAGTTAATCAGATAACAATAAATTGTTGACTTTAAATTACAGTAATGAATGCTGTATATGTTTTTTTTGTTTGCCATCTACTATTCCGGATACATTTTTATTGATGAATCCCTCACTCGTGAGGTACCTCGTATGAGTTACTCGTTGCGACGAAATGAGGGAGGTGCGTCTTTTTCAACTTTGAACCACCTCATTTTGCTCCTCATATTCTGAGGTCTCGAACACAAGGTATAAACACAGTTATCACATCTCATTCAGCAGCGAGCAGTACCTTAAGCCTCGCTACATAAGTACAACAAGGTAAAACCAGGTCCTCGCTCATCCTCAATAGTAACGTGTGAGTTACACAACACTACACATTTTGTCAAATAACTTTTTTATCGTTTGATATTTGACCTCCAACCACACTAGCTAGTATGAGCTAAATGAACATAGCTGTCATTCCTTGCGATTTTACCGCGTAACACAAAGACAATTTCTGTACAAAATTCTATATGTGTGTAACTGAAGCCCGATTTTACTGTAAATGGAGCCCTGAAAGGTCTGCCAGGATGTCAGATCAATTGTCAGCAGACCAATCAAGATTCGTCTAGGATTGAACAGACCAATCCTGATCAATCAGGGCGGAGCCATAGAGAAAAGTCTTTAGTAGACACTCATTGTATAAGGCTTTATTAACGACGAAAAAGTACAGAGCTCCAGGTCACAACATGTCAAATTTCCGCAACTAATTTTGAACGAATAAAAAGTTTTATTTTATGTTTAGCATGCTTTTAGTTAGGAAATGTATTTAGAAGATTCATAAATAGACTCAGTTAATAATAAGGGTGTAATAATATTTTTAAAGAATAATTCAATTACAACTCTCAATTTTTTAAGTACTTATAACTTGTACTTACAAACTGAAATTATGTTTTCCTAGGTACCTACATACAACTTATAATAGGGGTATGAAAAGCGATTATTTCTTTTGTACTAGGAGCCTGAAAATCACAGATTCTTCAGCTTTTTACCCTAGTCCACCCCAATATGTTATTGTTACTCGTAACTTAATTTTAAAATCGAAATTGCTTGTGTTAAGCAACAATATGAAATTATATTTCAGTTTGGCGAGTGTTTTAGACTAAACCTACGTAGATATTTATACTCAAATAAATAAGTCTTACAGTCACTTTATTACAATATCGTTCCAACACCATTAAAATTCACAGTTAAATGTTAATGATATTCTCCTAATAGCATCAATGTCTGCTATCTAGATAAAAAAGTCTATATTAGATTAGAATACATAACAAAAGTTGAGTAGTTCTCTCTTTTGCATGTAGATAGTCTGAAATTTGTCTATCAACTTTAGTTCTACGTTTAGTCATGGGTCTACATATTGTACACTGATATTAATTACCTAAATAAATAATTACAAATTAACATACACGTCAATTGGATTTCCTTAAAATTCTACTTAACGTGAAATAAGCAACTATCCTTATAATGACTATTTCTCCTAATAGCACGCCGATGTTGGGCCAGTAATTGCCGCTACTGAAACTGAACTGCTTCAGTAATTCCGAAGGATACCTGAAAAAGGGAAAATAATAAATATTTATTCTTAAAATAATTCAAAAGAACAGACAGACAAAGAGCCTTAAAATATTGAACAGAACTTTCTTAGACTGATATACAGCACAGCCGTGCTATTATTTTAAAAAATCAGCATCGAACTTGATATCGAGCACAGCATAAAAAAATATGTATGAGAGCTAGCGCTGTCTATGCAGTCATAGAGGTTCAATCAAACAAAACGTACTTCAAAAGGTGAAAAGCTTTCATTGAACTTCTATGCTGTGACAGCTCTGTGCTCTAAATCCAGTTCGAGCTGATTAAATTACAAAAAAGCAAAGCTTCTCGAACTAGAAAATAATATAGGGTCAGTGCATATCTGATGGAAGATATATACAAATATGTGATATGACATTCAACTTTGCTCACTCGACGGATGATTCGTCGCGTAATCACGCATAACGCAGATTTGCACAGACCTTAATTTTATTGCGTTAACGATATGTGAAATAATAATGATACCATCACCACTCGAACCCAAGACAAAATAGAAAACATTATTCCGTATATTGAGACAACCGGGAATCAAACGAAGTCTCAAGTCAGCAATGGCAACCTTGAAGTCGATCACAGATCCAAAAAATGATGAGGTGCCTAATTTATTCTACTTCCTTGTTGCCAGGCGTCTGGATAAAGCCGGACATAGTTAGGTTTGTTGATTGCGTGTCCGGCTTGAATCTTATTCATTTTGAAAGTCACTCGAAATAAAAGTTTCATACCTATATTGATCCTCTAGGAAGATAATTTACCGTCGTAAATTATCTTTCTAGTGGAGATAGTAATATAAATGAATGATAAAATTTATCTTTCCAAATTTTCACCACCAATTTCATAAGAGCAAAAGATTTAAATAAACCATCTAATGAGGTAGATCATATTCTTATTGAAACATGCTTAAAAATCCACTTAGTCCCTGGCACTCTGAAATGGGACTCGAACCCCTTCAGAGTGCCAGGGACTAAGGAACTTTCGCAATTTGGGCGACTGCTCTAACCACAGAGCTACCTAGGACCTAACAGGACTAACGAATTTTTCAAGCACTCGTTACTTTTTCGCTAATGTCATCAAAGCGTATTTTCATCAATGTTCAGGCAATCCACCCAAACAGTCGAAAGAAATATTTTTGTGAATATTTACTTTCGATAAAGTTGAAAATTTGTTCTTATTATTATATTTGATCAATTTTGCATTTACAATGCTGTAATGAAAAACTTAAAATAAAAATAGAAACGACTTCAAACTGGCAAAAATAATACTCATCTCAAAAGCGACTTATTCAAGAAAATGCTATTAAAGTCGGGCGGAGGTTTTTTATAGTCTATCAATTAAATGATAGGCGCCCCACTTCAATTGATCAAATATAATAAAAAGCTAGATCACTTTGCCAGCAGAGCAAATCTGTGATTTTTATATTTTGAAAATCAAGAACTTTTATCAGAAAAATTTGGTATTTTACACTTATATTTTAAGACACAAAATCTTCCACAACCTATGTTGCACCCTATGGTGACCAGCATTTTTATTCAAATGTCCAGCCATACATACAGGTCTTTCCGGCTACTGGGTTCAGCGATCTGGCAACCCTACGTGGCACCGAAAGACTGACTCAGGTAGTTCCAAAAATTGTTATTTACCGTGAATGGCAGTATAGTTTCGTTTCAGGACACGGCAGTGGCTGCCTGCCATCCGAGTATATGCAGAGTACGATGGCCTCGAACGCGTACCGCATGAAGGAGACGTGTGATACAGTCCGCATGCCGGGGCTCATGTGCGCAAACAGCACCAGGAAACCGGCGAATGCAATCATCGCGCACGTCGTAATGGCGCCCAGGAATGTGCCGTTCTATTGGTGAGACAAAACATATTAGAAATGTCATTTTTATTTTCAAATTGTAATCAGTCCAAAAGAAAAATTATAAACAGTTTCGTTCAAGGTTGTACTGCACTCCTGAGCACACTTTCTAAGATTTGTTATCCTTATGTTCCAAATCGTTTATTTATGGCGTATGGTTTCAGTCTGTTAACTTACGACATGTCAGTGTGCAGGCGCAAGTGTGTAAACTATTATTGTAGCATTTTGGGCATTACTTAATAAAGTTATGCATAAAAAATGTCCACAGTTTAACTTATTAGTTTCCAGGTCTTCATGCATTTTGTCAATCCTTAATCTCTTGGAGTCGGGATTAATAACAAAGTATAGACTTTACTCTGTAACTCTAAGGACAATCGAAATAAAGTTTCACAGAGCTTTGTGCGATAGCAGTCGAATAAGTGATTTTGACATATTGGAATTGTTGACTTTTTATGGTGATTTTGACTTAGTTAAGTTAGCGATAGGTAATTGGCTTTCAGGTGTTATATAAATACGTAAAAGTAGTAAAAATACAAAGTTTGAGTGAAGTTTTTAGTCTACATTTTATCCGAACGTTATATCATACCATCTGGTATTACGTTCTTATTATAACCAGTTATGATGTAGGTATGTTATTTTAATAATATAGCAATTGAAGTAATATTATGTTTAAATGCTCCATTCACGTGTGTGAATGGAGATAACCACTTATCAGCTCGCGTGATCCGATCCACATGACATCAGGTTCATTCGATTTGACCATTATTCTCTTGAATTATTTTCTAATAGATAAACTATTTTATCAATAATTTCAGACAAAGATATTTATTTAAAATTAAGCAAAATACACAATTTATATCTGTTATAAAATTATACGAAAACGCATCATAATCATCAAATTATCATCCTCATTACGATAACACTTGGTTAATATATCGAATTATGACGTCACAGCTTACTAAATATCATCATCTTTCCAAGAATACTTATCTACATCATTATCGAGACATAAATTTTATCTGATATTTATTACCTTTCACATAGATAAAAAATGAAGCTTTGATTAAAGCAGTTTTTTATGATTTTATTAGATATTAGTGGCGTATTGTACAGGGAGTGTCTTGCTAAGCAGTAAACAGCCTCGAATTCGACGTTGAGAGCAGAAACAGAGCTGTCAGAGCATAGAGATTTAATCATATATAACCATTATTACTTTTTGAATTAAGTAGGTAGTTTAAAATTGCTTGAAGCTGTATTTTATGACAACACTGTGCCCCACGTAAAGATCATCACTGATTTTTAAATAGTCCCATATGAATGCCCCTATTTAATTAAGTAAATACTAACCACAGGATTGACGCAGGTGCCAATCACGTTGCCGATCGCGTCGGCGAGCAACGTGACATTAGCTAACACCATCACGAACATGAGGAACCTGGTGAACTCCAGGGGCTGACCCGTTAGGAAGTAAGATGGCGCCGAGTACACAAAACTGTACCAGATCTGAAACGGAGTTAATCCATTGATTTGAACACTAGACTTGGGTTTTTATCGAGTTTAAAGTAATGTTTTAGGAGATTCCCCATTTTCGAACAATATTCTGTGAAAATTAAACATCTTGGGCGCCTTTCAATAGTAAATATTTAAGCATTTTTCTTTATAGCCATGATTTTCTATCTTAAAAAAAATTCCTTAAAAATTTAATATTGCCTATTAAATTATGTGCCTATTAAACGAGTAGGTAATTAATATACTTAGCATTGTAAATGCAAAGTTTATCAAATATAATTTCTTAACTTTTTTGAAACTATTTTGCCTACGTACATGCGTATAATTCTCTATAATATTGAAATTTATACAAAGAGTAAAGTATTTTTTTGCGACTTTATAACTTTTATGACTAATTTAAAAATTAATTCGTTCGGTTAACGAACCCAATATTATTCAATCACCCACTCAAGATTGACTGAAGTCATCAAAGCTAATACTGTTATTATTTACCTGTAAAGGTATACCAGTGACGAGTACCGCTGCATAATATGTTTTCAAATCGTACCAGTTGTTAAAGTTCTCCTTTTTCAGTACAACCAGTTCAGAGGGGACTGTAACAAAGTACAATACATAAATGTAATTAAATTGCAGGTAAGTAATTTAGTAAAGTTTTTGCGATGAATTTCCGCTATTATCATGTGATAATTTAAGTCTTTTTTATAATGTAGATAGATAGATAGATATAGCATTTATTTGCATCACTTTACATGCCTTGATACAATATTAAACATAAGAAACAATTAAATATTAATCTAAGAACTTAAATCTATAATCTTATTCCTGTGTGTGAGTTACAGCGATGCAAAAAGGCAAAAGTTCAGCGATATATTTGCAAAACGCTGATTTTCAACTCCTGCCTGAGGTATGAGACCCATGCTACGAAACCAGACGCCTTAAACCAGTTAGTCGTATATCCATCGTAAACCAACTCCTCGTTTGTATAAAAAATATAAAACATTGTATGTTTTATATTAGTTGAGAATCATCTTCCTAATCTATTAAATTGGTGTTATTAAATAACAATACTAAATTACTAAATAACCTGTTTAATATTGACATCAACTATGGCTTATATGAGTAGGTAATCACCAATGTTACATATAAATTAATTTTCAAAGGTATCAAAATAAAAAATATGACTTAATAACAACCATTTTCACTAGGTATAGTGACGATAACATCCATATATTCTTTATTGAAATAAGTTTAATGAAAACGTAATGGTACCACTTTTTACCTGGCAATCTATTCAGGTAATTTTAACTGACAAGAAAGGATACAAGAAACTGGATTCATAACAGTAATGGTTACGTGATGTTTTTCAGTATTTTTTAACCCCCACTTGGTACATTCTTGGTGTAATAACCGCGCGTTTGAGAAAAAAAAATACACATGATATATTAGGGGGAAGGGTCCCCCTTGTGATATTTCGTGATTTTTGACGAACCCCCTCCCTCCTTTTCGAGCCTCACGCGACGTGATTAATAAACGGCCCCTATTTTTATTAGATTTCCAGTAAACTTTTGCATACATCAACACCCTTAAGGGGTCATCCATAAATTACGTCACACTTTAGGGTCGACGAACTGTTACGACGAACTATTAGAACAATATTTAGTAGAATTTATATAGATAAATAGGTGACAGGAGGGGAGGGGGGTTAAAGATCCTGAATTTTGCGTGACGTAATTTATGGATGGCCCCTAATGACGAAACGAGCACAGTTTAGTACAATGTTCAAAACATTTATCGAACAAAATAAGTCAACACGTCTCGATATGACATTTTCTCTTTTGTCATTGTAGATTTGCTATCAGGAAAGAGTCCTGCTGGATCACGGAAAAATAGGATCCCATGAGGAGATATGCTAAGAGAAATGTTTGAGGTACTTTTCAGATGCCTGATATTTTTTTCCAATTGTTTGTGGCAACGATGAATTTTAACGTATACTATATCATACAATGAATAACACGTGTTTAGGATATAATATCCTTTTAAAATAATCTCTGCTAGTTATTTTAAATCTTTTTTTACAATGACTTTGAATTTTGCCTATTCAGAACACGAACCGAGTGTGTAATATATGGCATAGTAATAAAATATATAAAATTTACAACCTTTTTCTTTCATCATCATCATGATCATCAGCCCTTTTACGTCCCCACTGCAGGGACTCAGGCCTTCCTTATAGATGGTTAAAGAGGATGGACCATGAACCTCCACGCTGGCCCAATGCGGATTGGAGGGTATTAACGACTGCAAATACAGCCGGGACCAACGGCTTAACGTGCCTTCCGAAGCACGGAGTAGCTCGAGATAATAATTTTTTGGTTACCCATCCCGTGACTGACCCTTGCAAAAGTTGCTTAACGACAACGATCGCGGGCCGCGGCGCTTGTCCACTACGCCACCGGGCTACTTTAACTTTATCTTTGAATAACATAATATTGTTCAATATATATTCAATATATCTATTACTTTAAAACAAATAATTTCAAAGAAATACCGTTCAATCAATATAATTTTCTTGATTATAAAAATTATTTTATTCACATTTAATTAAAACTCACACTATATAATAACATTGAGCATTAAAATAAATTTACATGTTAATAATATCTAATAATATTCAGTTCTTATAGTAATCATTTCATATAAATTCAAATCTCATAAAATTATTTAAAATAATGAACATTTGAAATAATATTCAACGCGTAAGGGTTATTTTCATCTAATTTAATATAAAATTTTAAAATACTAATAAAACGCCGTAAATTAATTAAATTACGATTGCTATGAGTTAGTGACCGAATCCGGAAAAATGCGATCACAATCTATTATTTTTAACTTATGGTGTCTAATTGGTTAATCAAGATGTAAGGAATAATTTACGGGTATAGTATGCACGTTACGAGAAAAACATTTACAGCTAAGTATTTTTTGAAGTAAATCACGGTTTATTGTAAAACCACACCGCTGCGCTGTCACGGAAAACAAACGCAACCGGAAGAGAGAGACTTTCGTGTTGTTTAGTAATTTTTTTGGTGACGTGGGTAATGATATATAAATCGTAAATTGCCATTTCACAATTTATTGAAGTTGCACTAACAATAGTGGAAACAAGCAAAAAATTGCTTGTAGTAAAGCCCTTTTTTTAAACGGGATCGGCCTCTGCCGCGGCACGCTCGCTTCGTTCGCTCGGCTCGCTTTATGTGTTGGTCAGAGTTCTAACCTAACCTAACTGAATAATAAGTTCCTTTTGTGAACAACAAATGTGGAGTTTAACTTAATCAATTTTATTACAGTTCTATCTATCTTAAAAAGTGGAATATTATGTTATAGTGGAATAATTTTATTTGTGATTATAATAAAATTGTAATTAATCATTACTAAGTATATACAATAACGTCTATATCAATTAATTGATGTTTAAAATGAATATTATATCAATCATTCGTAATATTAAACGTAAGTTATAATAATTAAACTGTATGAGAAAAAAATTATATTATTTGAGTAATATACAGAGTGATGGATGGTTATATTAAAAAAAATTAAGACAAACGAACGTTGTACAAATTAAGTGTTATATGAAGTGTTTTTGGCGTTTTGAATATTATGTTAATTGATATTAAACAAAATGAATATTATTTAAAATAAGTATTTTAAACGACGTTATGATAATATACACTATTTCACGTGTACATTATACAATATTAACGGTATTGATATGAAATTATATGAAAAGTTGCTATAACAAATGAAGCTCACCCACATGAATTCATATGATGGTTAATTTTGAACAATTATTGTTTGTTCCATATTATTATAACCACATTTTATTTCGATCATCCTTGTGTAGACTTGTATACCTAAGTATAATCAAAGTGTAGACTATTATACCTAATGGTTTGTATATCACTTGTGAACTGATAAGTTGGCCTAAGGGTTACTTGCAAGTAATTTACTGATTAGTAGCATATCCGTACAAATTGAATAATATTATTATTATGATTATAATACAGTTTCTTGACTTTTCGATCGGATTTATTTAATAAAACCATTTCACGAGTTCCCTTGGTATAACTTTTATTGTTTTGTAATAAAAGCGAAAACCTTGTGATCCGAGGGATTTCTTTCATGAAACGAACTCCATAAAATAGTTAATTTAGTATTTTTAGTGGCAAAGGACTAAACTTTTAACTTACTAATTATTTATGTTTTTTTTAAATTGCTAAAAAGCATGTTAAATAGTTTTATGTCTAGTCAAATCTTATTTTGAATATTACTTACACCTTAGAACAGCGGGCATCAGGGAAGTGTAGCAGAGGTACGCAATTGAAACTATCAAATAACCCAAATTACTGATGGTCTTGGATCCATCATTGCCTGCCTTCTCGAACAACAGTCCAAGCATTACGCCAATGAATATATGTAGCAATACTTTTAGATGTGTCACCGTCTGGAAAATAATAATACTTATTTTGTATTATATTTATATTAACGGAATCGCCTAGACAACAATATCGCTTTAGTTGAATTTAACAAGATTTTAGTGAAGAAAAAAACTGATTAAATATTTCAGATTTAGTAATGAATCCATTAGTCAATGGATGTACACTGAAAGTCTATTACATAAAAATAACTTGTTATTTTTAAATAGACTTTTACTGACAATATACATACATAATTTCCGGTAAGATAAACAAAGAAAACGATTACCTTTTTATTAGAACTCTATCCGTGGATATTTGCAATTATGATTTTGACTACGACTCATAGAAAAATGTTTTGCTTCACATAAAAAAAGGTCCTAACTCAAAACTTTTTGAAACTCACCCAATCTCTATACTGCTGCGTAATGCATCTCCTAAATAAAACACCAAATTTATACAGTTCGTGTGGTGGGTTGACAATTATTGAGATCTTTCCACATGTTAAGACTTCTTTGCTATTACTAACTGATTGCGGAACTGCCTTTTCTACGTCGTTTTGTTTAGAACATCTCTCAGCTAGCACTTCATTAAACTTGCCATATTCACCATTCGCTATTTCTAAAACTTAACACAAGTAAAAAGTATTATTAATATCAGTTTATTATATTCTTTGGTTTTTCGTAACTTAGTTTTATGCTATATGCAACAGATATTAAAGTTTCGTGACAAACAGTGGACAACTTTACAATAACAGCATTATGTTATCATTTATAGATTCTGATTTGTGTTCATAAAATACTAATCTACTTTAAAAATTATTTTGAAATTTCGATATCCGTTCTAGAAGTAAAATTTAACGGGACCGGTAGCCGTCAGAAAAGTAAAACTAATTTAATTCTGGTTTGATACCTGTTCATTGTATTAATTGCAATATTTATGCAAAAGATTTAAGGTCAAGTTTTGGTTAGTTAAAAACTTTTGACGGTATTTTAAAATAATTACTTACTATAATCGGCGGGGTTATGATACTTTGGACATTGGAGGCCTACGGATGCGAGATAAGGAACGGTATTTGCGCTGCTCCCGTGGTATATACATAAACCATCTGCTAAAATATATACCTGCAAACAAAATAAAAACCTAATACAATGCTACGATTAAGGGTCGGGGCAATTGTGATAGAAAATGCGTCGCATCACGTGCGTTGCGGAACATAAGAATTTACAAATTATGTAGATTCGAGCTTGCTCACTCAACGGAAATTCTGTAGCGTTATCTTATACTTTTCTTATCTACGTTATCTTATACTTTTATGAGCGGCTTGACATGAATCTCAAATATTATGTTTCTAATCTGAAACTCAAAATTTATTAATAAAGTGTTCATAACATCTTAATGTAAAAAGACTTTTCAGCATAGACTGAATTTCCGAAAAATGGAAAGCTCCAGCGGTCAGACAATAAGTTTATAATAGCGGAAGAAGCGACAAAAATCTCAGTAAGGAGAATTTTCACTCTTCTTCTTTAATTTTTAAATAGTATTTACCAAAAATATTTTAGAAAAAAGACAGGTTAAAAACATTATTAAAAACTTCATCTGAAATCGTGATAATGACCTGTGTAATAAATCTAATATTATCACTGTCAATTTTGGCAGAATCTTTTTTATAAATTCAACGGTTCTTTTTTTACTAATGGTTATTAGTTGCGAAGACTCATAGAATGTATGCCAGCCAATGGTTTTTGCCTGGTAGTAATTAATTACAATGTAATATCATATTGAATGAGGAGCTCGATGGCATAGTAGTTAGCTTAGTTTAGTTAGTTAGTTTGTTTGCGGTATACGATAGTTAAGCAACTTTCGCAAGGCCGGTTAAAGGTCTAATAATTTGGTATATCGAAGTCCTTTGTACTTTGAAAGCATAGCCGTTTGTCCCAACTGCATCTATAGTGCCCTACTATTCCAATCTCGGTATTGCGGGATCCCGCATCTTTTTTCCAATCACGTGTTGCGGGTTAACGCGCGCGGGATACGCGCATTTAACGGGACTAGAAAGAACTTTCCGCGAGCGCGATCGATCGGTGACTAATGGTGTACTGGCGGACAAAATGACGAATCTGCATAATTAAGCCGTAATTACTTTTGTCAACATTCAGTTGAAAATATTATTGGTTTATATGGATTATGGTTTATATGGTAAATGGATTTTAAAATTAATACAAAATTATATAACACACACTATAGATATAGACGACTTTACTTGAACTCAACTGACAGGGTTGCTATTTATTATGATAAATCACTACTGTCACTGACATTTTCAGTCTTTAATTATATATTTTGTTTTATTTATAAAATATAATATTTTCATACCTATTATCGTATTTCTGACAAGGACAAATTCAAAAACACAAATATCATAAAACCGGTCCAGCCGTTCTCGAATTATAAATAGTGTGACTTATACGACTTTCTTTTTAGATATATTTTGTAGTTGCATGATTTTGTTTTTTGTATTTATTTGAGTCCAGTAATAGTAAAACTTAAATGAATGTGGATTTATGTTGATTAATTTATTTAATTTAAAATAAATATTTTATAAAAATATTTTCTATGTGCGGGATTCCGCGGGATTGAAAATATATAGTACCGCAAATACCGAGATTGAATAGAGGTTGCGGGATTGGCAGCCCTTATCTATCGTCATTAATACCTACCAATATCATTGGGTCCGCGTGGTGAGTAAGGATACATCCAGAAAGGCTTGAGCTCCAGCAGTGGGGGTATATTAGGCTGGTGATGATTGTAATTATTACTCACTTGATCAAACATAGAATAAACAGATGCGGTGGGTTGGTGTATGGTGCAAACTATGGTTCTGCCGTCTCGCGCTAGGTTTTTTAACATCTCTATACATTGCACTGATGTAGAGCTATCCAGACCCCTGAAATTAATAATTACACATTTGATACCTGTTTCTGATTGATCATAAATCGTCCGTGCTGGTAAAACCTGTTACTTTCGGACTTTTACAAAATGGGTTTCACCAGTGGATGAAGCTTGAAATTTTCTATCGAATGGTATATTTAACTCATTTTTGTAAATATTGACAGTTAACATGTTTTACCAGCTTGGGTGAGATATATTAATGTCAACCTAAAGATAGTTCCAAATTGATTGCAGATCTGATGTACTGTTTTGTGTAATAAAACAGGCATTTAAGAAAATAGACAAAAAATGACCATTCTTTTAAACAGTTCTGTCTATATAAGATGGCTAGACTTATATAGACTTTATTTTGTTTGTAGTTTTTCGAATTTAATATATATGTATTGTATGCAAGACTGGCCGTCTTTTGTTTTTTAGATTTGGTCGGATGATTTTTATTATTTGTTACATAAGAGGAAGCTGTAAAATACGTTTTATAAATGGCGCTATATATTTTTATTTTTGGAACTTAATGGCTTGAATCTGTAAAAAACTTTACAATTATAATATTAACTTCTGAACAATTAGACTACAAAAAACATAACGTAATTGATTCCTTTTGAAGGTCAAAACAAAAATTATGCTTTGTTTTCAACATATTATTCATAAAAGCATTTTAAAAAAACGTAGACGTAATTACGATAGTCAACTCTCGTGATCTTTTTGATTATCCAAAGAAAAAAATATTAAGCAGCAACAGTTGATCGGCGCAATATTGTATTTAGGGTTGCCAGATAGCGAGACTAAAATATCTGGACAAGATTTGAGAAAGTCGGGATTTTGGGATCACAGACGGGACAAAAATTACTAATAAGAAATCCAGTTAAAAAAAATACTAATAAAAAATAATAACAAGTATCTACTTTTTTGTAATTTTATAAGATCACATTATAATAGCATAACATTTAAACAGCTAATGTACCTACTTAAAATATTTTTATGATATGTGTGTTATTTATTTTTTATACTTGGAATACGATTTTACAGAATCTAACAATTTTGTCGGGACATATTTCTTTTTTTCGGGACTCTGGACATCATACGAAATGTCTGGACAATCCAGACGAATCCCGACCATCTGGCAACCCTAATTGTATTAATAATAGTTAGTTAGTTAATTTGTTGAAGTTGCTTTCGTCATGCATTTTTGTAATTTTAAGATAAGTACAGTGTCTATATGTTTTGTTGTGAGGACAGATGACCCGATTTGAGGGCATTTTAAGAGTAACGAAGAAGTGAACTTTCACATCACGGGACACATTACAGTTGTTAACGGTATTAGTCTTGCCATAATGCAATATTTTCTACATTTACAACAAAATCCTTTCACGCTAAAGTAATATATTTGCCTATATGTTGGTTAGAACGTTTTGAAGATCCAAATGGCCAAAAAGGCAGCAGTGGCCAAACCGGGTCTTCTGTCCTAATTAGATTTTATTAAAATAATATCATCCTATGTACTTACGTGGTTGGTTCATCTAAGAATACGACTGGTGGATTGTCAATCAGCTCGACTGCTATAGAAAGCCTCTTCCTTTGTCCACCCGACAGATGTGCACAGCGCGTGTTCTCTGTGCTGGACAAGCCAAGCGTCTCCAGTACATCGCTTATCTGATGACAAAAATATGTCATTATTGCAGTTGACTATTAGAATATTTTAAGTAATAATATGTAGTTTCGTTCGGTTTTGATTCGTTTTCGATTCGATTTAAACAAAATTTATTTAGTGGAATTGGTCCCCAGGTGTCCCCGAACGAACTCTACAAGTACGCAGGTATTAAAAGTTCATGTAGAGACTACTTAGAATCGAAAGTTCTATGCTTTTAAAAATAAGTTATGTCAGATCGCTCTGGGATCTTACTCTTATACCGTCTAGAGTCTAAACGGTATATTATTACTTTATTATGCTAATTATTATTACTTTTCGGTCTAGACTCTAGACCAAATATGACATTGCAGTTAAATATTTACCTGTTTTATTGTGGACATATTAAATCAAAATGAGTTGTATAAGCCCCATAATTCACACATTTGCCTTTGTAATATCTCTTTAACTAAATGGAGATTTATAAATGTACGGATCACTATTAACTAAAGATTAGGATTGAGAAATTGTATGATCAATTAAAAATAGTCTAATAACCTAACCTAAGGATTGGGATTGTAGTCAATAGTGTAGCAATAGTCAGTCTAGTGTATAGTGATTACGTTCAGCAGCGCCATTCTGTTAAGGCTAGGTTGTACGAAATTAGCATTTTTAAACCAATTTTGCTCTAAGGCTTATATTTGCCAAATAAAAATTAAACATAAAATTACCCTGAATTTTAAAGGCTCAGTGACTGCGATCGTCTGATATCTTCGAGCAAAGAATTCCACAACCGAGTCGCGTGCAAGGTAAACGCATGGCTATAGAACTCTGTCCGATTGTGAAGGACCGAAAGGTGAAGACTGTCAGACAAGCGAAGAGGAAGGTCATGCGTGGACGATAAGAATTTAAAATATTGTTTAAGATATTAAGGATTTTAGGACAACAGCACGGAGAAAAGAAGGGAGAGTATGTGCAAATCTCTATGTCAGACATAACCATATTTACGGAGCCCGAAAAGGAATCTGATGGCTAGACTTAGGAGACGCTCGAAGCTTACTAAAAAAATTAAAAGTAAGGTTGCATGGATCAGCGTAATCGAGAATTGGCAAGAGAAGAGATTGCGCAACAGAAAATTTTGGTAGCAGTAGATAAAAAGTTAAGAAACTTGGCCGCTGCAAACACCTTCATGCTCACTTTAGGAATCTGTGGACGCCATGGGAGTGTTTGATCGAACCAAACTCCAAGATTATGAACTTTGTTTGAATACAGAATTGGAGTGCCTTCAAAGATCACTGACTGCAACTATCTCTGCTTCAGCCTATCCACGAAATAGCCATTGCCTATTGTTATTTGTGATTTATGATTTACCGGATTACTTTTTTATGCCGAAAGATTTACTCCAGGTAGCAATTCGATTTAAATCAGAGTTTACCGTATGGATTGCATTATGTAAACGGTCCAGTCGTTCCATAAGACAATTTGAATATCTGAGTGAGAGAGAGAGAGAGAGAGAGAGTCTAATAGGGATGATGACTAATTTTTGTTTGTTTGTCCGTCAGGTAGAGTGTTAAAAAATATTAAACACGTATTTTTTTCGTAATCATAAAATTACGGCGTTACATGGAGTTGAAATTTCGCATGACGTCATGTTAGGGTACGTTTTCTACTCAACTGTGACGTAGCGAGCCCCCACTCCTCAACTTTAATGCCTATTATCTAAGCTATTACTTGTTAAATTGAAGTAAAAAAAAATACGTATCTAATATTTTTCTATTATCTGACTGACGGACTAAATAGAATTGCATTTTTTTTACCCAGTCATCATCCCTATTATTAATTTCATCGGATCACTAACAGCGGATTGACAACCCGCTATTAAGATAAACCTGTAATTGGATTAAACACGAATGAAAAAAAACATTATCTCGTCATTTTTAGGGTTCCTTACGCATAGAGTAAACGGGAACAGGTCTGTATTTCCGTTTGTCTGTATATTCCGATCTATATCTCATGAAGCGCGATAATTAGACAGTTGAAATTTTCACAGATTATCTTTTTCTACTGCCGCTTTAACAACAAACACTAAAATCAAATATTTTATTCAATAATAAATATTTAGGAGTTCCCATACAATAAATGTGATTTTATGCTCGCTTCCGCTACAGAACCCTTTGTGGCCGTTTTTTTTAAGCAATAAAATATTATGTTTATATATTTCGTAAAAATGCCTTTTTTTGTAGTGAATTTAAATTTACATAAATTGAATATCAGTGCCGATTGGATATCAAAGAGTATATATGTCAAATTATAAAATTTAAGCATCTCGTTTTTTCTTCAATGTCCAAACCTAAATAATAAGAATGAGGAAAAAACGAGTTAAAGTCACGACACGAGATTCTTCAAAACAGCCAATGCGATGCGAAACTGTAGGTACATTCAAATTCGAAAATAAAACTATTTCAATTGCATCAGAGTTAATTAGACTCATCAACATGCGAATATTTCTGTTTGTTGGCATTGAATATGCTCCAAAACTACAGGCCCTTAAAATTTATAAATTTACGCCCGCGTAAATTTATAAATTTACGCCCGCGTAAATTTATAAATTTTAATTGAGAAAAGTACAAAATCTCAACTAAGAATTTTAAGTTTTAAAAAAAAACTCAAGCTTTTAAAGTTTTTCATGTCAAAATTCCTACTGTTATCAACTGATCTCAAAAAAAAAATCAGAAATGAAAACCTATTTAACCCATATTATCCCAAGACTCTAAGATGACAGAAAATTGTATTTTTTTTTAGAAATATCTAATAATAATAGTTCAAAAGAGACAAAAATATGTATTTTATGTTTTTCATATAAATGTAGACTGAATTTCAGGACCGCACCTTAAATGGGGCGCTGGGACAATATGCCTACGGGTTTTGTATGGAATATTAACAACTCAAGGTATTTTTAAAGTTGTTTTATTATTGTTTAAAATGAACTACAAACATAATAGTATTAAAAAAAAGAAATAAGATAATTTTGCTCTGAAAATATAATAAAAATATGCGTAAAAATCATTTTATGGTGCGAATAATTCGAGAACAATGTTGATGCAAACCAACTTCACATTTACTGCATTTGAATTTGGTGTTCTTGTGACATTGGCGGCAACGAATTTGAGTTTCATTACGGATTATGTAGTGTCCTTTCTCGTCTAATCTTATAGAATCAGGCAGTTTGTTCTTGGTAGTCAATCAAAGTAATCGTAAAGATGTAAAGAAGTTATCGCCATAAAAACTGTAATGATCATTTGGTAGTTTCGAAATGAAATTCATCACAACTGAACCACCCACACCAAGACTTGGATTTGTATTACCAGTTTTGGCTCCCTGGTAAGGCTCACCATAAACTAGATAACCGAGTCTTGTGCAGAGAGACCAGATCTTGTATCAGAAACGAATTGGTTTGCCATGAATGTGCTGCTTGGTTCCGTGTTTACCGAAGTATGGCACCATCGATTCATCAATTGATAAATGCTTATCTCCAGGGAAATACTTCAACCATCTTTCATTCATCATATCCCAAAGTGGTCTTACCTTAGCAAACTTGTCATCGGGAGGAAGTTGGGTATTATCACAAGCATGATAATATCGCTGAATTTCCTCAAATCGATTACGAGTCATGCATGCGGCTACTCCTGGATGATGTGTATCAACACTCTGATCCCAGTATAATCTATAGAGTGATACGCTATTGTAACCTGACAAAAGTAAAATTCAATTCCTATAATGTTCTTCACTTCTTCAGTGGTGATCCGAAAGTTGACCTGCCCCTTAGCAATTGCATTCTTTTCTGTACTAGATCGTAACTACTCAAAAACATCACCATCACAAAACATCTCAAAAAATTCTATAGGATTATCTTTATCGAAAACAAAATCCCGGTACTGTTGACTCTCTTTCCGGTTTAGAAGTTATATCTTTATGCCTCCATTTTCGATTCACAATAGTCTTCACTTTCTTTGCAGGAGGTTCTTTTGATGTTGACGTAGACAGTAAACTTTTTTGATCGTTGTAATTTGCGCTTGGTGATCCATAAATGGTTTCAAGGACTCCTTCTGCTGATGGAACACGACACCGCACCCCAGCTTCAGCTAGCAATTGTCAACGAGCAAGATTACTAATATCTTCTGAATCTTCGCTTCCACTGTCTTCATCGCTCAAATCATCGTTTTCAGGTGGTGTAATGATTATGTCTGCTGATAGTATGGAGTTATCATCCTCCAAGAATGATATGATTTCATTAACATTCAGTCTGAAACAAAAAAACAAAACAATGTATAAACAAATATGAGAAATAAAAACAATTTCATGTCATAACAAAAACACTTTGAAGAAAACTTCCATAGTCACCTGTTCCCAGCGCACCTTAGATGGGGCGGTGAATAAATTTCAATAAAATGTAAATAAAAAGTAAACATATATTTTTTTTCATAATGTAGATAAATAATTTAAACATTTATCTATAAAAAAATAGTAATAGAATTATTATTTATAAACAAAAAATATTATTATTACTTACCTTTTTCTCGAACTCATCTTGACCCAATTTCACGAAACTTGCCTACGTTTTGTATATAAACCAAAAACACGTTAACTTCAATTGCACAAATAACACAACACAGTCAGTTGTCTAGCTTATAATAATATTCATTTGCAGTCAATCACTTGACTTTTACTATTTATTTGAGGGTAGAATATAGATGCACCTTAAATGGGGCGCTGGGATAATATGGGTTAAATGATTTTTAGGTGCAGTCTCAGACATTCTTAACTTTAAATTATCCATTCAGAAACCGTTCGTTAGATAGTACTTTCAGTATTCAATTTTAGGTATATTATTCCATATCTGGTTACTTTATTTTACTATTTTTTATAAAATTGACATAACTATTATCACTCGTATACAGGGTACTGACAGACATGATCATTAATTACTCATTAATAAGCACGAAAGTATTTTCATTTGCCATTAAGAGCATTTGCTCAGTAATGGAAATTGTCTCGTAAC